TGGGATATCTTCCTCCTCGGTTTAACAACTGGTGTTGCAGGTATTCTTGGCCTACCATTCCCCAATGGTCTCATCCCTCAAGCACCCTTCCACACCGAGTCGCTCTGCGTTACAAAAGCTGTCAAGGAAGATGATGAAGATGGCAACCCAGTAGGTGGTGGCTATTCCTTCGAGGTCACACACGTTGTAGAGCAACGATTTTCCAACTTTGCTCAAGGCCTCCTTACCTTGGGTACTATGACGGGTCCCCTTCTAGTGGTTCTTCACTTGATCCCCCACGGTGTGCTCGCGGGACTATTCTTTGTCATGGGTATCCAGGCCCTTGAAGGGAATGGTATTACTAGCAAGCTTGTCTTCCTAGCTCGCGATCGTGCCCTCACACCTTCAAACAGCCCCTTACTTCAAATTCGCCGGCGCTCAGCTATCTGGTACTTTGTCCTCATCGAGCTCGTTGGCTTCGGTGCCACTTTTGCTATCACTCAGACTGTAGCTGCTGTTGGCTTCCCTGTCATCATTTTTGCCCTAATACCAATCCGAGCTCTCCTCCTCCCGTACATATTCTCCCCCGAGGAACTCTCTCTTCTTGACCAACCAACAGCCTCCGAGTTCATCATGGAAGGAATTGGGGGGTCATGGGGCGGCAAGGACGATGAGAAGCCTGCTTTGCAGCAGAACAATGCCCGCCGACGGCCAGAACATCACGATAGTGTGCTTGCGTATCCCGGTGCTCCTAGGAAGAGCCAGGAGGATCTTGCAGAGCTAGGACAAATACAGTCTGGACAGAGCACAGCGACAAGAAGGAGGAGTTTAGAGAGACGGCCACAAAGAAAGCCAACCCCATAGAAAAGAGTATGATTTATGTTTTGGATAGAAAGATACAAGCCAGCGAGATAATATGTTTGGAGGATATACCATTGTTTGAGAGTCTCGTATCTCAAATAAAGTCTGTCTACATACGAAGCCACTTAAAGGATTCAGATAAAGCCTAGTCTGAGAAATCAAAAATCAGTCCTTGGTTAATTTAAGAGGAGGCAAGCCATCCTAGTCTAGGCAGGCATTGCTTGCAGAAAGATATGGCAATGAGTCCTGGTGCTGACATTGGTCATTAAATCTAGACGTGTCCATTACCCCTTGCCTGTCATGTTGTATAGCATGAACGCTCCAGACGCCAGTAATTATGCTACATAATATCTATTCATCGTCATCACTATCCACAACAAACCCACCACGTACACGCGGCCTTCGAGTGATGACAGGTGCTTCATCCTCATCCTCGTCTCCATTCTTATCCACGCCGCCCATTTCCTCATCCACGTCAGGCCGAGTCTTTTCAGCACTGATTCGTCTCCTCTTGCGGCCCTCTCCATCACTGCCATCTGGTAATGTTCCTTCTGGCTGCCCCTCGTTCTCTTCCTCAAGATTTGTATTCATTGCCCTACGAATGAAATCGTCACCAGAATCAGAATCGTGACCAGATTCGGAATCTCCACCTTCTTCCTGATGCTCTTCAGTACTTGATGCAGATTCTGTAGCTGCAATTCCACGCTTTCTAGTTGGCTTTCTAGACACAGGAAGGCGTTCCGCAGCGTGGCGGATGGCCGCTGCCTTTGCTGCTGTCTCACGTTCTCGAGCGAAGAAGGCTTCGTCGTACTCAGAATCAGTTTCATCGTCCTCGGGCCTTACAATCTTGGCTGATCTGTAGCTCATCGACTTTTCTTCCTCGTGTCTTCGCCTTTCTTTACGTTTCTTTTCCCTTTCTTCTTCGGTGAGTTCTTTTCGAGGCCTGCGTTTCCTGGGCGACTTCTTGGGGCCATCTTCTTCATCAATGGGCCTGCGCACCGTGGGACCAAGCGGTCCGAACATGGGGTCATCAAGCTCACCCTCCTCATCATCATCGAAATCGGCCTTCTTGCGTGGAGCACTCTTGCGTTTCAGCTGGTGATCTGCTAGAACACCCTCCTCAAATGTTGGAGGGTTGAACTCGGCTTGGTTGATGTAGTGGATAGCATCCTTGAGAACGTCGGCAGACACATCTGAAGGTATGATCCATGCAGACTCGGGCGTTTCTTCTGACGCCGGGCCTAATAATTGAAGACCGACGAGTTTCATAAGGAGTCGCATATGAGAGTTCTTGAACATGGCATTCCGGCGGTCCTTATCATCCGGACGCACATCTAAGCATTATTAGTAAACGAATAAAGACTTGAATATCAAGGTAAACTCACAAAATATAGAAGGCGCTTTTGGCCCCGACTCTGTTGGCTGCTCTTCAGCTTCGTCTTGTACAGGCTCAACTGAAGCCATTGCCTCTTCTGCTGCCACGAAGGCTCTACGTTCGCTCTCAGCGTCGCCGAGAATTTTCTTGACCCAAGCAACATGGTTTGCCTGGTTCTTGTCTAGCATTGCTCCAACGACAATGGCAATCTGTCGGTCCAGCTCTTCAGTGTTTTTGAAGACCAGCTCAGCTGCAGGTTTGGCTTTGCTGGCTGTAGTGACAGTTTGTCGTTCGAAACCGTACTCGAGAAAGAAGGCAGTGCTGGATCCCTTGCTGAAGAGCATCTCCACAAGCAGTTCTGGTCGCTGTTCAAGCTTCTTGAAGCATTTTCGCAGTATCTGCTTCACCAACTCTTCCCATTCTTTGAATATTCTAGAGGACTTATCAAGCGCAGCAGGGCCCTTGATCATGTTGTAAAAGAGGTGAATTATATCCACACGGAATAGCATGACACTCGCCTCTGCCTTGAAAGCCACGCGATAGAAGTATCGATGCGCTCGCTTGAGTTGCGAGTCTGTCAGATCACGGTAATACTTGGTGAAAGTGACAAATGTATCGACTACGCTCTGGGGCGTAAAACGCGTTGCAAATCGATGAAAGTCGAACTTTCTTTCTTTAGTGGTTCGCTCGGCGGATGCGGCGTCATTATCTGAACCGTCATTCTCGTCGTTGTCATTCTCGATCCCTGCAGCGTCTTGGGCAGCCTTCTTCTTCCGTCGAGTGCGCTTCCGCGAGCGAACTTGCATGTCAATGTTCTGCTTAGAGTATCCTTCCAGTATACGGAGGAAGTGGTGGACGAGTTCCGTGGCAGCGTCAAGATAGTTGAAGCTTTGATCCTTGTAAGTTCTGATGATGGTGGCAATTGCGTCGTGGGTGGCTTCTTCGTAAAACAGACGACTGAGCACGTTCTCGGCGATCTCTTCGTTGTCCTCGTTGCCTGACTCTGACATTTCCTGCACGGTGAGAAGAATCTGGGTAAAGCAACGCATAACGGCGGTTAGTTCATGCCAATCTTTCATCTCGAGCGACTCATGAAGAGCCTTATTGAGAGTGATGAACATCTCCTGGTTGAGAACACCTGCAACAAGGTTGAAACTGCTGATATCCTCGCTGGGATTCTTACTCGACTGTTTCCCTGCCTTGCGCCTCATGCGCTCGGCTTCTAAGAACCATGCCACCAGGTAGAAAAACTGACGGCGATGATACTGCATTACATGCGGTGCCTCTCTATCAATGGTTTTGCGGACATGTTGGAATAGGGGGTTAAAGCCCGAGTCAAGGAAGTCTTCGACAAACGACCGCAACTGGTCGTAAGCACGAGAATTAAGCTTAGTTGGTAACCCAAGATCTTTCTCATCTTTGTCTCCTTTTCGTGATCGGCGAGGAGGTCGGAAAGTCTTTGAGTTGTCCATCTTTTGGTTCCTCATCGTGGCATCAGCCAGTGCATCTTGACCCGAAAGTGATGACATCTTGCCGTCGTCTCGCTTCACCCAAATCATAGTACCGAATCGGTTATGGCGAGTTGGGCCTTTGCGGTTGTATGCCTTCAACATGGACGACTCCTTACTCATCATATCGGCAAGCTCTCCAGCCTTGGCCTTACTTAGCTGCTGCTCATTCATGAAGAGCTTTTCAATGTCGACTTGTTTCACTAGATGGTATATAATCTCCATGACAAATGTATCTTCAGTTCGAAAATCTTCTCCCATGTTGGACGCAAGCGTTAACAGCACGAGGAAGATATCTTGGTACGAGAATGCATCGATAGTGGCGGATCGAGATATTTGAGACTCATCGCCTTCGTATTTGACATCAGGAGGAGGCTCGATCATGGCGATATTACGGAGGAAGAACAAGACCAGCTTGATGATGCCTTGATCACGTTGTGTTCGATCGCCAATCGGTATTGCCATGGACGGGAGAGCCACCCGTACAGCTGTATGAAGTACGCGAGCTCCGTCGTAGTTGATAACGGCTCGCTTATATCCAACCTGGGCGAGCTCCAGAACTGGCATATGACGGTGGTGATTGACCGTCATACGCTCTCTATCTCTTGCCATCGGCCAGGTGAGAGGAACCATGAGCTCGAAGCAAGCCAGGGCTATCCTGGACTTGAATTTGCTGTCCGTGGCGTTTTCGGGCCACGTCGAGAGAATGGGGAGCAGGTCACCCTCGATCAAGTTCGCCTCGTGTATGCATCGCGCAACGTCCATCCGATTCGTCTTTTCGTCATAGAAGCGTATCCATCGTTTGAGATCTCGAAGAACCTCGAGGGCATCGTCACCGAGTTGATAGCCGCCATCGTCGTCGGCGCTGATACCTCCAAGCTGGAATTCACTTGTAAGAACGTTAAACTTATTGGTGTTATGGGAAAACTTACCGCTGAGACAAGGCTGTTGATATGCGCTCGCACTTCTGGGTGCACAATATCTGTTGATCCATCGGCTAACTCCATGATATTGTTTTACTAAACATTGACAGATAAAGAGTTGTCTATCTCTATTTACAGGTCGTGGGGTTATGCTGCCTCGACAACATTAGAAAACATAGGTAGTTCCACCACTTCATTATACGACGCGCTTAGACGCGTCTCGGCCGGCGTGTCTAATTAACGCGAGATCCGATAAGAATTGATAAGATAAAGAAACTTCTCGGCAAATGATAAGGAAGATCCGCCGGCTCCGAGCCGAGGTTACCCGCAATATGATGGCATGAGCCGTTGATTTCGGCGTCGGCGTCGGCGTCGGCGTAGATGTCAACATCCCCGTGGGGGAGAACTTAAAGAGACCTGGCACTTTACTATTGTATCTTGATTTCAAAATCCCCCAACACATTCTTCCAAAAAATGGCTGCTTCAATGCTTCGAATGCCTTCTATGGCAGCTGCGCGTCATGTTCGCTGCTTCAGCTCTTCACCTCGCCAATATGCTGCTGCAGAGGTCAAGAAGCTTGGTGTTATCGGTGCGGGTCAAATGGTAAGAGCATGTGAAAGACATTCCTCGAGTTCATACAATTAACAGCACCGCAATAGGGATTGGGAATTGCTCTTGTTGCAGCTCAAAAGGCCCAGGTCCCAGTTACTTTGATTGATACTTCAGACAAGGCTCTGGACAAGGGCATCGCCTTTGCTGAGAAACTCCTAGCAAAGGATGTCTCCAAGTCAAGGATCACACAAGAGCAGGCCGACAGCGCTCGTTCTCTTCTTAGTACGAGCACCAAGATGGAAGATCTCTCCTCTGCAGACATGGTTATCGAGGCTGTTCCTGAGCTGCCCAATCTCAAGTTTGACATATTTGGCAAGCTGGCTCAGATCTGCCCCAAGCATGCTATTCTCGCTACAAACACCTCTTCTATCTCCATCACACGCATCGCCGCTGCCACTACCAAGGATCCCACTGATACCTCAGCTTCGTCTCGTGTTGTGTCGACACATTTCATGAACCCCGTCCCTGTACAGAAGGGCGTTGAGATCATCAGCGGTCTACAGACCAGCCAGGACACTCTCGACACCGCCATCGAGTTCTGCAAGCGCATGGGCAAGATCACTTCGGTGTCCGCCGACTCTCCCGGATTCCTTGCCAACCGTATCCTCATGCCTTACATCAACGAGGCGATTATTTGTCTCGAGACCGGTGTTGGGGATCGTGATTCCATTGATGCCATCATGAAGAACGGCACAAACGTGCCCATGGGTCCTCTTCAGCTTGCTGATTTCATTGGTCTCGATACATGTCTTTCTATCATGAAGGTTCTGTATGAGGAGACCGCCGACTCCAAATACAGGCCGAGCGTCTTGCTGAAGAACATGGTCAACGCTGGGTGGTATGGTAAGAAGAGCGGCAAGGGCTTCTACGACTACTAAGTCACTGCCTCACCAGATCTTCGGCTATGAGCATACCTGGTCAAATTTTACGATACTCTTCGTAAGATTATCTAGATAAAAATAAAACAGTAATAATGTTCAGGTTACCCTATCCTGAGAGTTGCTCTGGGCCAATTCATACATTACAGCTTCTTGCCTAACCTTAAGGTGCCAAAAATAAATAGTCTAAAGCCTACTAAATCTGTGCCAAATTTGCCTAAGTTTATACTAAAGTCACCTAAGGCTTATTATCACTTGGGATAGAGGCCCTAAGTTTTCTTGCCTCCCCTCCCCTAGTAGCTAGGATACTTACTATCCCGAAGGCTCCCTCAGACTACCATTACAGTCATGTGGGTTTAATATATCTATCTGATATTAATGAATGAACTATCCCGGTGTGCCCTTTAATCTTGACTTAGGGAATGATGCTTAGGTGCACGCCTCTCTCTGTCAGAACACACTGAACACGCTATCGTACGACACCAAGCCGAGACCTTCTCAAGAGGTCCGACCACGCAATCAAGGCTCATGCAGACGCATCCGAATGTCTGACGGGTGTCAAAGCAAGGCGGCAATAGTCTCGACTAACCCCCCGTCAGCCTCTTCGGCAGTTGTGTCTGTTGAATCATTACCCTTACCCTTGCCTCATAAACACAAGGATAGATAACGTTTTTGCTGTACCTTCTACATGATTCTATAACTTCTTCTTATGGAAAAAGTGTCCGGGTCTTTTGTCTTAGTACCAACAAAGGCCCACACACCAATTGCTAATGTGTAAAGGTCAAAGCTCAAAACAACCATCACCGAGTCCGCCACATCTTGTCTAGCTGTCTAGCCGTACTGACACCTAAAAGATGAAACTGTCTATCTGCGCTCAGTCACCTTTTGTTTGGTTTCGTGCTTCTGTTTACGGGCCTTCTTTGCGAGCCTTCTTTGGCCCAATTAATTGAAACAGCCGTCGATCATTAGACCTTGTTTAGTCTTTACGAACAGGCCTCCCTCAGTGGCAGACCATATGGAGAATCTTGACAACAGGAGGTCATTGACCAAAGTTGAGCGGAAGTTTAGTATCTCTGGCAAAGCATGCTTAAACTCTAGATGCCGAATATGCAGCCATAAGAATTGTCATCAGTTTCGCATCAAGCGACAGTTGAGGATACATTTGCGAAGTGACAGAAGTCTCATACTCGCGAAAGGACCAGTTGGCCCGCAGCATCAAGACTCCGAGACAACCGCCCCTGTTTCTTTCAGTATTTGCTTCTTTCTGCTTACCGGGGCACATCAATTCTGAATCACCACGAAATACAAAAGCAAATCCTAATGATGAAACTGCTTGGAATAATACAGTGCGTGAATCGAGAAACCAGAAAATGGCGACATATGCAGCTTTCGACCTCGATATAATGAGATACGAACTATACGGCCATTCATATGCCCATTCATCAGCATGGAATATTATAAAAGATGAAAATCGAAACCTGATAAAGCTTTCTGAGATTAGTTTGATATTACTGAGAAAATGCAACGGCAAACCAGGCCATTTGACTTGAGCTTGCCTCAAAAATGAAACATATCAACAAGCTTAACTTATACGTTTCTAGGCTGTGTCTTTTCCGTTATCGACAAGACACTCGCTCTTTTGCCAGGGGATATATACGGCAGTTGCGTGAATATCTAGCGGACTCCCGTGGACTAGGCTAGACATGAGAGGTGAGAGGGTGATGGAAGTGAAACCTGTCGTCACTGTTAGCTTATATGACATCCGTCACATTGATACCTGCGACTGCAGTCGATCTTGAGTTGTGATAGAAGAAAAGCACAACTAGACTCTGAAGGCATACTCTTGAAGGGTACCGAGAGGTTCCATGCTTGTTACATGATATTACGGCCCGGTGATCGAGTGTTTCATGCTTGGGCCTTAACAAGCAAGGGTCATCCAAGCAATTCCAGCTGTCTAGGCTGGGACCATTGGATTGCCACAAGATTCATCTCGAAACTCGATTGTCTCCATATTAAACAGGCCACTTGAGAACTCTCCGCATTCAGATGTATGGCCCGTCAGATCAAGGGGAGGAAGAAAATGTCAGCAGACATAGGAGAGACATGGGAGAGACCCGGTCCTTCATATCATATCTACAGAACCAGGAACTCCAACATGATTGTACCGTAGACAATCAAGTGCATATCTCTAAGATAATAATCATAGTATTTTCTAAGCATGTTTGTATAAATAAACAACAAGTGGGCTCTCTCTTCTTCTTCCCCTACAAGCCAATTCAACCACTGTATCTCAGAAGTTAGAATGGGGATTTCATCGCTCATCGACAGCACATGGAATCAAAGATGGTAGATTTGGGCATTTGTCTTCACCACCTCGGCCGAGAGGGCATGCCGGTTTCATTTTGGCCAAACCCTTTTGTAGATGATGATTACCCTCCTAGAAGGCTTCTCAGGCCAAGTGACTACCTGCCCAGAAATGAATGCGAGTGGTTAATCAGATTCAAGGGTGTGCACCTCCTGTCCCAGAACAAGGTTTTGCTTTAACAAAATGTCTTGGCGACGGAATGCAATAAAAGCGTACATATACACGGGAGCTACGATTAGTGCCCGATCAATACAGGGCTGCTTAACAACGGAGCTGAATTACATGTGAGTAGCCCAGAAGATAGGTTAGTAGTGTTTCCCAAACTGTGTTTAAGAGTTACGACATCACCGTACGGCCTGGTTAACCCCTTACAAGAAAAAAGAGCAACCTCCTAGAAAGGTGTATCTACAACTTTGATGGATATGACATGTTCATGTATTAGGGTGGTTTAGCAAAGACTACGTAAATTCTGGAGATTCAGGAACTCTCAGAACATATGGTTTCCAGAGACTCCCAAAACAAATTCCCTGAATTTGCTAAGGTTCTATCCTCGCAAACTTGCCTCTAAGAAGAATCGTGATATTTTAATATCAGGGCAAGTGATTACGGGCAGGGGCCGCCAAAGTACACCTGGGATAAGGTTCTCGAAGAAAAAGAACGTTGGCATCCTGGTCAAAACGCCAGTGGGACCAACCCACTCGGAATTTTCAACCACGGTCAACAACACGAAGTGATGGGTAATTAGCAACTTCAAGACAGAACCCTCAGGGAGCAAGAAAACTTCTGACCATAAATCAAGGTACAAAAGACTAGTCTAAAGGTCGACTAAGTCTATACTAAATTTGCCTACGCCTTTTTGTCACTTAGGATAGAGGTCAGAAGTTTTCTTACCTCCCCTGGCGAACATGGCTATTTGTCTTCTCACAGACCGGTAGAGGTCCATCTCTCCAAAGTAGCCTCTACCTCAATAAGGCCATGTAGGCGGTTATATGCACTAGAGGTGCAGAAGAAACTCGATGGTGTTGTTGTGTGCTGGATCAGATTCGTTACATTCGAGGTGTGATCAATCATGTCCTGTGAGATCGTACATTGCCTATCAGTCCCTAATACTAAAGGTTTTCTGTCTTCAAGAGACGGTCAGCTTCGGTACTCAAGTATCCATGTCTCGAAATTCCCAGAGCCCATTCATCAGAGGCGGAGAAGGCACTCCTGAAATCTGGGGACAAAGGAGGCGTGTCTGTAACATATTCGTTTGTGTACGGAAGCTGCAAATCAATCACCCTTTTGAGGTGGCCGTTGAAGTTTGGTTGATGGACGAATATTTCCGGAAGACGCCACCACAATGGAGCTCAGAGCCTTGCTGTTTTGAATCAGGTGCATCATTGTGTCTCCATAACCATGAATATTAATGTCCTGCAGCAGCACAGAATAAGGCAAATGCTTGATGGAATGCCCATTCTAACTGCTTCCCAACATAGATTTGCCCGACAGTAACCAAGTGCTAAGTCTGTGAAACGACTCGAGGCTCGCTCCTTGCAGCGAAAGGATGCATCGAGCCGACTGGATACCGTGCGAACGGGATTGGAACTTTAACAAGAGAACGAATTCGCAATGCATAGCGAGTAACAACATCTTTAATGTTAGTGTTTCTTATCCTGCACTCTGTGTTCGCTTATAATCAAGCTTGTACCCTGATTCGGCTACCGACAGAGCACTGTACCGTACCTATATGTGATCGCAATAGTACTATGATCAGCAAGATTCCGTTGTATCGCGAGATGTTAGCTTGTTCTCTGGTTCCCCACGCTGCGCTATGGGCAAGTCAAAATTTGTCTCAGCGATGCCTTTGCTGCAGTTGGTCAATGCAAGGTTTGATGATGCTGTGCAATCCCAACCTGGCTCAATTTAGTCAGCTTTCCTTGCGAATATAAGGAGGTTCATCTCAGAGGGAATGAGACAACAAGCAAAGCCTTCATATTAGCAAGGTGATCTTTTCGTCTTACCCCGTATGACTGAGTCCTTTTGACACAGTAAGAAAGGCGGCAGTTTGAGAATCATGTGGTATTCGGCAAATTAGAAGTTCCTAAGCTTTGGGACCTTGGCACCAACGGTAATTGCAGTACCCCATGTCAGGCAATAAATGTGGACGTTGAAGACGTTTCTTGAGAAATCTTGGGGCTTTAGACATGAGGGTCCCTAGCCTGACCTCTAGTTGGAGCTAGAAATGGAAGATTGAGGCTGATAATAAGGCCCGTGTCTCTATGCCGTGCAAAGAAGGGTCGTTTCAGTGCCTGTTGGAGTCGTCATCAATGTTGTTGAGTAAGTCTTGATCTCATCGGCAACAGCGTCAATTCATGGTGGATGTGTAGAAGCTCAAGCCCAGTCGAAGGATGAAACGTCTAGATCCGGGCTCACAGGGCTAATCATAATCCCTGATCCTGGACAGCGCTGTTACCCGTTGGTAGGCACCTGGCATCGCATGAGTAGGCGCCGAGAAAGCATCTATGATGCCGTCGGGTTGTTTGATGTCCTTCAGGAGCAGATGACTACAAGGAGGAGGAGAGGGAGTCTACTACCTAACATCGGTATCTGAGAAGACCACCAAGGTAAAGTTGGACTCAGGGACCTTTCATAAGTACCTGGCAAAGGCAGGCAGGTAATCAATCACGCCTGCCCTGCCCTGCCCTGCCCATGTTTGATGAGTGCCTAAGATAAAAGCAGGTGCATTTGGATTGATGTCTGTCAAATCCAAAACATGTTGCCTGCTAAACTTAGATTGGCAGGATCGAGGCAGGAACGGCCTAGTGATCGGCAATGCGTCTTTCCAGGGTTTCCCTTCCTATCCCGCCACATCACCAACAAACCTTCAACAAAGCACCGTCCATCTCAAGATCAATTGATGCAAACAACCAACACCAGGACAACAACACTGACATCCATCCCACGCAGGTTCGGACCCAACTCATCATGGAGCACAACATGTCCCTCGCGGGTCTTGCGGGCAGTGGATATATAGGTCTTCTGCCATTTGCAGTGGCTTTGTCCACACGCCCAGGTTTGCTCGAGCGCACAATGGAACGGGCACCAACAATGAAGTCGTTCCATCTGCCCGCGAGTCAATGCAACCGCTACCACTCCCACATGCCTTTAGCAGCACAGATGATCGTCTGTGACAACTAGAGGAACGACAAAACATCCCACCGGTCTTTCCCGTATAATCCACAAGTCCATTTGTTAGACACCAGAAATAGAATCTCTCTGAGCCCAACTGGATCCTCGAGGCTCAACAGAGGCTCCGTTACCCGCGACATCACATGGGTTTACTGTTGTCTCCCTTCAAGCACCGGGGACTTCGATATGCCTGTAACATTTGCCATTGTCTGTAATAGTCTGCCACCCCTCTCATCAGGCCGGCCCTACACCGCACTGCATATGTATACGTATGTAGTAATTTCTAGATTGCATCCTCTCATTCTGCTTCACCCCTGGCCAGGACCTCAAGTGCCGTCCTGACAATAACATTTCCATGGATCGTTTGGCGGAGTTTCTGAACTTTTGTCGCTCATCGTCCCCACAATCTCGAACTTGGAACAGAAACACAAGGGGTTCAGTTCAGTCATGGTCGAAACAAGCCCAGCCACAAACTACATATGACAGCCTCTAGCTGATTTTTGCCCTACTTGCGAAAGCCTCCCAGACGGCCATTTTGACTACCTTGAACAATGTCTCATCTCTGATCTGGTCCGACCAGCAATGGATCTGTCTCGCCTCACCTCGCTTCATACCATCACACGGCCCAGTCTTGCACGTGCCTTGTAACATATCTCACAGGGTAGAGGACGATCATCCTTACGATCTCCCCATTATTCATCCGCTTCCTTCCTGTAACAATACGTATAAGCCTTCTTGGCCAATGGTCCCTCATCTCATCTTAACCGTGTCTTTCATTCAACACACGTCCTTGTCTCCCGCCCAAATATGCTTTTCCCATGAAAGACCCCTGCAATCTTGGAAGGCCAGTCAGATCCTGGAGAAGATTACACGTACGTCCTATCCACAGTGTTGCATTGCACCCCTCTACACCCCTGTAAGGACTCTCTATTGGCTCGTTCCCGCCCAAGCCGCGACAACGGTTATGCGCAACATGCACTAAAACCGCAACGTCGACGCAGATTCAGAAAATTCAATAACGATTTCTGAGAAAACCTAGCCCGGTACTGCACCCTTGATTGATCCTTTGTGGTTTTCGGAGACTTGAATCGTCTCTGACTGTATTAATTACGTCCAGGTCCCATCGCGAACAACAGCGTTGATGCCTCAACACCTCACCAGATGTCATGTAGATGCTTTAATCTGGGTTCGTTCTCGACATATGTCACTATCCATCGCCACAGTGCAGACATGTCAGGCCCAGTTCGTCGCAAACATGCCATAAGCAAGCTCATGAATCAGCTTGAAAGCTTGTTGTCTGCCGTCTTAGCATACGTATGTACATAGTAGTAGTAAAGAGTGGGATAAGTATCTCCGATATGGAACCCTGGACCGTGAACATGCAGCACCAGAGAGCTCAGACATGCAACGGATCGCTCGCTCAACTCTCCGCCAGACAGCATCAGATATCTATTAACCCCACCTCTTGTTAGTCGTTGGTGCTCACTCCTGGCGCAGGCCCATGGGTGCGTGGGCAAGCACCACACTTTTTGCTTTCTTATTCTACACCTTCCATGACAGGGGAACTCCTCGAAATATGATGACCTTGTTCGACCCCCTGGGCAAGGACATGGCAGTAATGGCTTCATTCATCTGACCCCACCACAAGGCGTGTTATTACTTGCCAGTCTGGATTCATATATCCATCCCAAGCCCGGCATCAATGTGAACATCATCCTGGATATCACTCTTTTTGATCAAAGGCATGTCAACTGTATCTTTCTCCAGGTTGCAGTTTATGTTCTTGTCCGTTCTTTTTTCATTCCCCAGACTACAGGTCCCAGAGTCTTTCGTTTAAATCATTACCACCATTTCGTTTCGTACCTAGGATACGATATCTGTTTCGTCGTCCTTACTTTAAGATCACCTCTTCTTCACATTTCTCTTGTTTTAATTTGGTGATGTTCTGCTACATGCTGACTCGCGGCTAAGTTATCACTCCCTTGTTCATCCTTCCGTTGCCATCTCGGAAGTGGTTTCAACCTTTCTGCAACAGGCCGACCCGTCCGTGAAAGCAAGAGAGAAACATTGGAGGTGCACTGTGTTGGTGTACCTGTCTAGCTACACTCGTTGACCATTTCTTCTCATTTAAGTTGGGCTTATCCCCTTTCAACACATCGCCCAAATGCTTGTCACAAGGCAGTACGAAACAGAACATAGCCGTTGGCCATTCAGCAGATACGAGGCATCTCTTACTTCGGCAAGCCCTCGCATGTCTAACCCTTACGATGTCAATGTCGAGCTGCCGGCCCCTACGAGCTGGCAAGCACACAATCCAACTGCTTCCCACGGTGGTAGTGGACCTGCCCAACAACATCCTTCACGGAACGAGGCCCCAAGACTTTCCCTAATGCGCCATCCAGGAGAAAATAGAGGCAATGCCCTGGGAATTCACATGAGGCCCGGAACGACTCAGATGTATTCATCCCATCTCCAAAGGATAGACCGAGGTGGAATTCCATTGTCAGGGCCCAGGGACTTGGCCCTTCAAAATGATGGCTACAGGATGAAACCCAGTACCGCAGATATCGAGGACGTGATTAGTTCAGGGCTAATCAACACCCCAAAAACAGCCACTAACAATACTTTCTTGCCACAAAGTCGCCAGATAGACGACCTCTCGTCCACCCAATCCAGCCAAAGAGCAAGAGTCGACTCGCCACAGGACGAAGAGGACGACGACCTCGATGATGACGATATGCTTGACGGGGAGGGAGAGAACTCGGCTCAAACTCCGGCAGAAAGGGCGGCTGCTCGACGTAAAATGAAGCGATTCAGGTCAGTGTATTCGTTGCTCGTTTCAAGGCAAGAGCTTATTGGTTTAGACTCACCCACCAGCAAACACGATTCCTTATGAGTGAGTTCGCAAAACAGCCTCATCCAGATGCGGCACATCGTGAGCGGCTCTCACGGGAAATACCTGGCCTCAGTTCACGCCAGGTCCAAGTTTGGTTCCAGAACCGGTAATCATCACATAAATTGACAACATAGCCCCCGCTAACCCGTGTTACAGACGTGCCAAAATCAAGCGGCTGAATGCTGATGACCGCGATCGTATGATAAAGATGAGAGCAGTCCCTGAGGGGTTTGACAATGTCCAGGCCCTCCATTCCCCCTACGGGGCAGTCCATGGCATGAATGCTCCTATGCCCTCACCAGGGCACTTCAGCACACAGTCGTATGCCCAGCACATGATGAGACCTTTGATCGTCGACGGACGAAGGCATGATACAAGCGAGCATGCTTCTCCAACCGCAATGACCCCAGGATTTGGTGGGATGGGGTACAGCCCCGCCGGTAGTTTGACAAGCTCTGGTCTTGCATCGCCGCTTTCGCCAGCTCCGAGTGACCGATACCCCTATGGCGGCCACTTCACAGCTCCTCTTACTGGAAGCCCTAGGACATCACACCCATTTGCGCAACACCACGGGCTTGGAACTCCTGTTGAAATCCATCGATCGAGCCCCCAGCCCATCCCGCCTCTGCTTCGCGACCCCCTATGCAGGGCCAGATCGGAATCCTCACAGTCGCCACTGCGACCCAACATGCCATGGAAAGGGGATGCAGTTGACTATTCCTACAGGGGGACGAACACGAGCCCGAACCTCTCAGACCGACACCCACCTCTTTACCACCCTGCACCACTCGACAACCCCTCTGGTGCCATGAGTGGCTACGATGTGAACTCAGTTCCCAGCTCCAGGGCTCCCCCCGAGAACCAAGTTCACAGAACAGAAATTTGAAGGGTACCGATGGGGAGCCCTTTGCCAGTGTATTCCAATGCTCAAGCCTTTGACTGGCTGTTTCAAGTTGCCGGAATCGCTTCAAACAGCTTGTGAACAAACCTTCCAGAGATGCCATTTTTATAGGCCTAGCCAATATACCGTCTGGGATCCCTCATAAGGGAGTATATGTTGCCTCTTCATACTGTTCGGTTTGGCCTTTATTTCTCTTATTTGCAGTATCTGCTGTTCTCTGGTTAATTGTTTCAGCTCTTTCATTCTTTCCTTCGTTCTAGTTTACATTATCAAGTGCACCGGGTGCATCAGGGCGTATAATGTTTTATCTTAGAATTGATGATTTGGGTATTTGATAACGATCATGATCCTTTCTTATGTTCAGGGAGTAAGTCAAAGGGCATGATGACGAACATCTAAAGCTGGGACTTAGTGAAAAGGGGAGGGCGCAATCATCGGGGCAATTGGCGCAATCGTTGTTCTGTTTTGGTTTTTGACAGACTGGTCTGTTCCCTATCAGGTTGGTTGAGCATGTTGATACTAGGTAGTTTGCTAGATCGGCGTTGGCCCAGGTGGCAGAACCGTTGACAGCTTGTTCCAAAGAATAAAAACAAAATTCAACGAACAATCGTCTCCCAAATAATATCTTATCGATGTCCTCCTAAAGCAACGAGAAATTTTGCAAGAATTCAGGTCAGTTGCAGTCTGACCGAGCTAGGAAAGGCAATAAAACTTAGGGCCTTGATCCTAAATGACAAAAAGACTTGGGTAAATTATCAGAAGCTCAGGGGCTCTTTGATGACTTTATTTTGGCATCCTTTGTCAAGGTCTGAAGTTTTCTTGCTCCCTGAGGGCCGAGGTCAATTGATAATGATTTTTAGCAATTGGAGAACCTATAACATCCTAAAAAATCATCTTGCCGTAATAGAAATGATCAGGGTTTCCCTACTGATATGTGGTGACAGTCTGAAATCAACGACATCTGCAAGCAGAAATCTAGCAAATGCTAACAATTAGCCTCTTCAATTTCTGAATAGAACTCTGGATACTAATGCGAGCTCTTTAAGGTCAGGCAAGCCAGTTCTCCTAACAGCAGCCAGGCGGCTATCAGTGATGGGCAACATCAACTGAAAACAACAGGCAAGGCTACTAGGTTTACCAGATGTTGGGTGTCATCACGGTACCGATAGCATGAACCAGATCATTATCTAAACTTACATGGCAGTAGTTTCAGGGTAAATGGATGGAAAAGTGGTTCACACCGTGCACGATATCACGGCCAATGGACCAATGGACCTTTCTTGTCTTCGATACAAGGCAACAAAGGACCAAAAGGGTGAGGATATGTCACTTGCATCAGGTCATCACCGCATCATGGTAGCCGCACAAGGGGCCCTCGTGATGATGGTTTTAGGCAAGGTTACTGAAGTGTGCTCTCGGCCACATATCCCAAGATGTTACAGCAGGGTAGGGTCGAGCAAGCTGACAATTGTTGAGGGATGGTGGTGGTCTTGTTTGTATGAAAGAAGGAGGAAAAAATTTGGCGGTTTGCTTGAGATCTTATCGACGCGACTAGGTCACGTGACATGACCATTCACCCGCTCCTAGGCCGGAGTGGAGTGATACGAATCAGACCCATAGCCATTTAAAATATTGTTGATTCCCTCCACACGAGTAATCATTCCAAGGCAAGTTTGCCATAAATATTTAGTTTTTGTTTAACTGAACACTGCTTCTCTCTACTAGCTGAAGGCCTTTTGGTGAAAAGGCTCTCTTGTAGCGTGCATGAATCTTTCCTCCTAGTCATCTACTCAAGTTTGACAAAAGGTCGATATTATAACAAGACTTACAAACCCCAGCCGAGAGTTTCTAAACTTTTTTGAGTTGATCATGCGATATTCTTATACTTATTAGAACTGATTGATATAAACAGTCCGGCAGGTATCTTTATTTAGCAAGATTATTCAGACTTAAATGCCTGTCTGGAGACCTACTGCTACTGACCTACTGCTATTGAGCTGCTTGGATCCAACTTCTTACCTACTTGTTACCACCTTAGTAGTATAAGCCTAAGAAAGAACAAAATAGACAAAGACCGAAAGGGCCACAAACTTATTAGGGTGATGTTTCTTTGTGCGAATTGGTATAGACTAATCTGACAACTCAAAGCTCCAACACAGTTCACAGGCTGAGACGTGATTCGGTGTCACCGTCTTTGTGGAGCTGACTGCGACAGTGCAGGAGTCAGCGATAATTCAGGCGGATATACTGTACGTTCCTGTGGCTCCCGTGGTCTTTGTTCTCCCAGGTTCAGGCCAGCCACTCAGATTAGCGGAAGTTGGTACCGAGAAGTGGTCAGTGAGCCGAAAGACCACTGAAGGGGCCCCAAGTTTAGCCAGTGAACAGCCTGGGAACAGCGGCCTGTCTGCCTGGCAGGTTCCTGCCTCCGGCCGTTTTTGCTGACGGGACTGACAACCGGCAGACCCACTAAATATGCCTTGTCTTTCAGGCTCAAATCGCCCTCTGCCTCTCCCTCATTCCAAACACTCCACACAGTCCACACCTCACCTCTCGCCCCCGACCCTGATTCAACCTCTGACATCCTAACCTAACATCGCCCTATTCGACGCCAAAACCCTCGCTCTGCACCAGCGACACTCGCCCATTTCTCCTAAAAACCGTCGATTCCTCTCCTCGAACTCTATAAAACCCACAGCAAACCTGCTGTCTGCCCGCGCCGCGCCGGCTCCGCTCACCGAGTCCCGAGGAAAACCCAGTGCAGTGCATGACGTTCGGCTGAAGAGAGAAGCGGAGCGCAGCGACTCTCGGTCGACGACCGGCGCGACTCTCGCCCACAAATCTCCCTCGCGGAGTCGTCCACGATGTCGTTCCATCCTCAGACTCCCCAGAGCCCATCGCAATTCTCCTCCGGGACCTCGGAGCCCGTGTTAAGCGTGACAACCTCAATGACCTCCACAGCCACGCCAACCACCCTGCCGACTCCCGCCCACAGCGTCACTGGAAGTGCCCATCACGACCTTGCAATGGCCGACGACTCCCCCCATAAGCGGAAGCGCTCTATGGACGACAGCGGCGACCGCGAGCAAAAGAAGGTCCACACCTTGGAAAGCAAGCTGGGTATTGAGGACCTGCATCTGGATGTGGGGAAGAAATACCTCCTCTGCCAGACTCCCCATCCAGAATCATTACCGCGCGTCTCGGAAGATCTTTATGACATGTTCAACCTTAGCGGACTCGCCGCCGAAGTAGCTCGAGAGAAGCCAAACGGAGAAAAGAACGCATTACGTTCATCATACACAGGCCATATGAAGAACTTGGGTATCGCTGGCAACTGGAAAGTGCGAGTAACAGACAAGGACTCTAATACCGAGAAACCCGACTTTTTCGACATCCTGCATATGCCTGATGAGGATTGGGACAACACGATAGTTAAGGGTCAAAACATCAAACACGGGCTATCACAAGCAAGTCTTTCCGCCCTCGGACGAGCACTCACCATGGCCAAGGGACCTATAGGCAAGAAGGACTGGGATACGTCAAGATTAGGACTTCAGTCACCCGGCCTAGATCCAAAGCAAACTTCATCGGCGAGACCCACCGCTCCCAACACTCCGCTCAACGTACCTGGCGCAGTAGGACGACTAAAGGCTCAAGGGCCCTCAGCAAACGATCCCAATCGACCAAAGCGTAACGTGAAGAAGCGAACATATGGTGATAGCAGTTTCGAGGGTTATGGCGAAGGTTACCCTGACGATGACACAGCCGTGGAAGGAGGCTACTCAACAGGAGAGGGAGAGGGCGGCCAGAAGCGACGCAAGAAGAACCCAGGAAATACCTCGCCATACCCGAGCGCTATGCGCCAACAAAGCTACGGTCCTGGCATGGTGGGCGCATGAATTGTCTTGATGGTAGACGCCTAGTCATGTCTCATGTTTCACGACTTGTATACACGCTATGAAACGATTCCGCAACAGGCAATCCTTTCCTGGAATGGGTATTACGCAAATTTACAAGATGCGGTCGCCCTGGGTCTCGTATACGCCGCACAAACAAAAAAATTTCGGTGCTACTTGCTTTGACAGCCTCGTTGGCTTTTAATCTTCAATCTTGGGTTTTCACTTTTCTGCATTCTGAGGGGACGGACACACGACATGTGCGTCCCAACGAGCACGGCGTTTGGGCAAAGGGGAGAGGCGGCATATGGGTAAGGTTGGCCGGTCACTCGGGGCAGGGGAGGCATGTTTACGTTTCTTATTTCTCTCAAAAGACGACACGGCCTAGCACAAGGGGCGAGAACACTGGGCAGTGGTGATAACAATAGTCAGGGCTTGGGCAAGATACTAGAAGGTTTAGGTATAATTTTTTGACCTGTTTGCCATTTCAACTTGTACCAAATAAAGTTGACTTATCTCAACGTCAATGGACAGATACCATCAACAGTAAAGTCAGGGACAACAACACATTAGGTTTCGAATACATCATATGGCGTGCACGATGCACAGCGCCAAAAGAGAAAAACATGAATAAGTCTAGCATCGTAGGTAACACCCGCAGCTGCTGGCCTCAGTCTTAAGCGATAAAACTTCCTTGACGATTTTAGGATATTTAGGATAGAGGCTTAGGATACTTTAAGACAAATTCCAATAAACTTGGCAGGCTCCTATCTTGGTTTATTTCGCTACATCCAAAATAATCCAACGGAGTGGCATCGTTCCACAAACATGTATAATGATGGAACTGATACATGAGACAAAGATATTTGACCATTAACGCTTATCGCTTGCTAAACTTCGTTTATATCCCACGCGAATAAGAAAACAGATCTAGGTAGGTACTTGAAAGAAGAAGAAAACCCATACTCGCTCATCTTCCAAGCCTTGTATGTAGCATCATTTCGCATATCTCATTACATACAGGCACTGAAAGCCTGACTATCCAGCCATTACATCCTCTCACACCGCATGATATGCGTGAATCTCAAAAGGCATTGCCACTCACTACTCTCATCTCTTTTAACAATTGTTACAGTCCTCTCCAAAGTTGCCGTTCTCAACTGTTGGGTATGCGCCAGTAGTCATCTCAGCCCAGCTCCAATCTAGTGTCATTGGCAGAGAGAAGAGATCTTGTGGGAGAAGGGGCTGCTGGAACGCCGATACTGGGATTTGCGGCGATGAATTCATGTTCGTGTCGCCATAATTCATTGAGTCAAAGTCGCCTGACTGAGGCACCGGGAACTCTTGAGGCCAGCCGGCTGACATTGCTGAAGGAGAAGGGTCGTTCATTGGACTACCCATTGAGAACTGCCCCATTGAGGCACCGTTCTGAGGAGGCGATAACTGGGCTTGTGATGATCTTCTCTGAGAATGAGAAGACACGGAAGTAGTTGGCGCTGATTCCGTAGTACTAGACTGTCGAGCCGCGGCCGTAGTAGTGTTGGTAGATGACTTATTTGTATCCTGGTTCTTGCGCTTGCGTCGAGAAGACTGCTCCTTCTCAGCCTTGTCGATGACAGCCTTTGCTATACGCTCAAATTCAGCACAGATACCGAGCATTCGATGCACACCGCCCTGTTCAGCTTCCTGTCCAAGCATGGAGAGGAAGGTAACCACAATATTCATGAGTCGGGTGTCTGACTTTGCACGGGGATCGAGTGGGTTCTGTAGAATATTTCCAAACAACGTCACCAGTGCAGAAACAGGGAAATAGAGAATCATCCTGACGATGAGCGTTAGTGTATCACTAGTATGATGAGGATTTCGAGACCTACCAAACGCAAGCAAAATCGCCTTGAGGCACATATTTTAGCAAAGAGACAGAAGCTCGCGCTGCAGCCGTGCATAGTGCTGCAGAAGAAAACACTCGTGGGTTTAGTGGTCGGGCATTCAGACCTTGAATGGCATAGTTGGCCAGCCGACTGGTCCAGAGTCCATGGGCAACTGACATGCGATGGATGGTTGTCAGGCAGTTATAATAGGTAAGATGCAGCATGACAACGTGAAGTATCAGAGGAGTGTGCGAGGCGTTGATGTCGTGCTCGGGCCGATAATCAATCGGAATGCGATCCTTCCACTCTTCCAACTTGTGATCCAGCTCGCCGATGGTGTGGAGTAGCTCACCGTCTGATTGCTTGGTAGCTTGAACAGAGTACAACCTTTTATAGACTTCGCTCTCGATGGTGGCAAACTCACACATAGCCCGGAAAAGATTCATCTTACCCTTGCCATCTGCCAAGGGGATATTGCCAATGTTGTCCTCTGGGTCAGCATCCGGAAGCTCAACGTTCATGTCGTCATCGTCCTGAGCAGGTGGACGACCGGCTCGGAGGCAGAGATCTTTGTCTAGCATATATGCGATCCAGAAGACTCTCTTGCGTTGCTCGATCTCTATGGGGTTCAAGTTGAAACCCGTCCCGCGCTTGTGGAGACCAATACTATGCGCCAGGCGCATGGCTGCTGAGACCAGCAGCAAGGTAGGCTGAGGGTTGGGCGTTCCTTGCAGGAATAGAGCCATGCCAAGAAGGGCTTGAACACTCAACAAATCGGTGTTGCGCATAGTCAGCTCGGGAAACACTCCGATGGCATTCTTCAGGTGACCCCATGCCTTTTCGTCCTCATCCTGTGGTACCAGATTGCTCATGACTCGCAAACGGTGGGCAATCGCGAGCGCACAATTGAGGCTGGCCCACCATCCAGAGCCTTGGTAAGGGTCTGATGAGTATTGAAGGTGTACTAGGTGCATGAAGGTCGGCCGATGAAACAGAGGGAAGATGCAGTTGAAGTTGTCGAAGAAGTCCTGGAGAAGTGAAAGTGCCTCAGGCTTGGGGGGCAAAGGCCGGAAGATGGGTCGTTGGAATAGGTCGCCAAAGACTTCAGGTTTCCAATTAGTCCATTTGTGGTCATCGACAGATATATCCGATATGGTCCGTTGAAACGAGTCATCTCCTGTTTTCGAGTTCACCCACGAAACTCCCTTCGGTGAAAATATGGAGAAGCCAGAGGATGACCCTGCAGTATGTTAGTAAGGGGTATTTCCGGAGATACAGAGTAGTAACTTACCAATGTATCTGGTTTCTCCAAAATTATTCGTCACTAAAGAACACATCAGCTCTGAAAGAGCCTCCACTTCTTCCTGGTCTTCCTTCTTGGTCTCTTCCGCATTCGCAGCTGGTGCTGGAGCTGTTGATGGAGCTGTCGACGGAGCTGGTGTTGCTGATTTGCGCTTATCATCCTTAGGTGAGGTAAGTGAGCTTTGAGGGGTCATCTCGCCCCCATCTGCAGCCGATGGGCCAGATGTCGAGTGAGACGGCGAGTTAGGGTTGGATGCCGCAGGCATTGACACTTGTCTTGACTTTTCTTGTCGTTCCAGTAACCTTTTCTCTAACGCGCCAAGGTCATCATCATCTTCGTCAAGGAGGCCTGTATATAGAAGGTCAGTATAATGAGGCCTTGTCAGCAAAGAAAATTCTTTAGACCACTTACCAGAAAGCCTCAAAAGATGCTCCATACGGTTCAGCCGGTTCTCAAGTCCCTCAATATACTTGGCACTTTGAATCTGTCAGCAACCACATGGTTTTGCAATGAGGTAGGTCATACCCTTTAGGAGGAGCGCGCTTCTTCTCAACTTGTGTGAAGACACACTCAGTCTTATAGTTGATACAGTGAGTACAAGAGGGCATCTTGCCGTCACACTTGATCTTCTTCTTCCGGCACATATCGCAGGCCTGTTGGAGTCCCGATCAGCACACAATACTCTAAAGCCGGCTGCGCCGGGATCTATCCTAGGTCCCATACCCTAGCGATTCTCCTTCTCTTTGGGTCATTTGCATCTTCGAGCAACATAGCCGAGTCATTGAACATCTGAGCAGCAATCTCTGGAGGCAACTGTGGTATGCCATCGTAACCACCAAAGACCTGTGGCGGTTGATTCATGATAGGCGGGGCCATGCCCGGGACCTGAAAGCCCATATGGTCCATCTTGTTCAAAGCGAAGTGGTTTCCTGATTAAAATAGTCGGTTGAAGTGGGAGTATCGGGTTTCGAGGTTGGCAAAGCGGCCGTCCCGTGGGTCAATTCAGCGGCAATCGCCTTGCGACACAAGAGCTGGAATGCGACAAGCAACCGTTATAGTGCGATAGACGTAGGCAGTGGGCTGAGCTGTGAGTCTCAATCACGGCGAGATCATCTGTGCGATACGGAGAGTGGGAGCTGGAGCTGGAGCTGAAGCCGGAGCTGTGGAGTGAAGTATGTTTTGTTGGTTGGGGTAAATCGTAGATCGGAGCCCACGGATCACTAATAGTTATTAAGGTATGATAATTCAGACAAGGAGCAAGGAGACTGAGTCGAAAAGGGAGAAGCCGAGGTGGGCGATTTGGAGGCGCCGGTGCGCTAAAAAGCTCCCAGACCAGGTCAAGTCTGCAGTCAACTAACGTTAGCTTGGTTAAGACCGACTCTATGACTATCACTGTCAGACTGAGGCGGAGATGGAGTGGGGTGGCGGAGTTTGGTTGGTTTTGTCTTGGTGTGAACTCCTTTGGCGGGTACTGAACAGTGAGTGAGTGTAGTCGACTGCCAGTTTATCAATAGAGGAAGGTCACGACAGCGATGAGGGTGAAGATGATGATGGAGTTCAGATTCAAGTCTACGTTGCCAGATCGTGGTGTTGACGAAATTTTCATTCTCCAGAGACAAAAGGCAATGACAAATTCAAAGCATAAACCGGCAAGTCAAGTATCCGTTAGCATTTGCAACTGGAACTGGAACCTGCTACAGTTACCAATTGGTACCTTGCTAACCTCAACTTGGACCGGTGAGACAAGAGAAGTCGCAGGGAAGGCAAGGACTCAATGCGCGGGTATTTGTTTCGAATCCGGGAACGAGGAAAGAAAGTACCTCTGCCTACCTACCTGCCCACTCCTGGTGCATGAAGACCCGAGACCATCAATCAGTGGAGGGTGTGGAAAATAACTGGCCAAAGAGTGTGCTAAGTTTGGCACAAATTATCCTGGGCTTGTCTAAGCATTTCTTTCACTGAGAATGAGGTCTCAAAGTTTTCTTACAAGCAAGCCTAAGCTGCCATTGAGCATCAAGACGAAGCCTCCGGCAGTCGTCATTAACGCTGCCTTCAATAGCTCGCGGCGATGTCATCAGCTTCAGCCAGTCGCATCACCGATCACCCCAGAATAGACTTAATCAAGTGCCCTACCGTAGCTCAAGACACCAGGTGCCAGTTGTAGATCAACTGAATAAACAATCAGTTAGTTAGTAGCTCTCTACTGCAAGTAATGATATGATGTACAGATTTGCAAGCACGAATTCTGCCTCTCCAGCAAATGATCGTCATAGTACCCCTGACTCAACGGCAGTCAATTTTAACTGCTGAAGGCCTCCACTGTATTTCGTCTCTGCTCTTGGCAATGGTCACTGAGAATAGCCCGCTGTTTACAGAACAGGGTACACGACCCGGAATCCTTCTCTGGATGGGTCGAGTCTCCATGTATACAGCCTTGACAGCCTTTACTTGCTATAATGCAATTCTGAACTTGGGTATCACGTCTCCCAGGTTGATAGAGATACTTTCTACTGGTTTCCTCCGTAGCCAAGCCACTCTTCCGCAAATAGTATGGCTTCAGTCTAGTAGAACTTGCTAAATATTGACAGCCAAAGTAGCAACATCGGCGTTAAACTTGCTGTTTATCTCATGTTTTATATCCGTTGATAAGTGGCCGTCAGAGTCACATAGGTAGGTAGCCAAGTCTATGATCAATTCCCCTCTGTCGAACTTCAATATTTCTTACTACGCCAAGACTGCAAAGCCTCGTTATCTCTCGTCGCTCTTTGCCCCCGATCTTACAAAAAATCTGCATGCGACCTTGATCCCCTGATGACGTGTCTCAGACCTAAAACACACAGACAACCGTTGGAACCTAACTAAACTACTTTATCTAGCCCCCATGCCAACTTGCGTCAACGTCAACGGTTCTCTAAACGCCTGGTAACTTAGTGGATTCAAATTCAATTGGAGAAGAGATTGTCCATCCCGAATACGTCGCTTCGTCCGAACCCAAGGGGGCTGTGCATCCCGAGACACTTCCTTCTTGACTCATGTCCAGTATTGAAGAAAGTAACCAATTCTTGAGAACAGGCATTGGTATTTTAGACTCTCGTCTAACCGCTGTGTCAATTAATAAAATGCTGTGGAGTCAATACAGTGGCCCAAGTCTAAATATAAGCCTCATTAGTCAAATAGATGGGGGCTTTCGAAGTCATTACTTAGGTTCCCTCAAGATGCTGTATTACCTATAAGAAGCCACTTTAATGTTTCTTCGAATCCCGTCATCCGTAAGCACTCGCGTCGCTTTTCAGGGTCTTCAACCCTTTGTTGTTTCAGATTCGCCGCGGGTAGTGTTTGATATGCTATAGCCGATGCGTACCGAAAGTTTAATGAGACTGCCAAATGCAAGAAAGAGCTCTGCGGGTTATAAGAGAGTAATGGAAGTCTGAAGAAGTATCTGTAGTAAGTTTCATGGAGTACAACCAATCTGATTTCCATTATAACAACCTACTATATGGAGAAGGAGAACTTAGAGCAACTTACGACAAGTTCCTATTAAGAAATTTCAATGAAGTTATAAAATTTCACATAATTTTAAATAACTGCATAAAGTTAAGAAACGGGATTTTATAGATCAAAGCAGTAGATATCATGAGCAAGGCACGAAGCACGGTAGTTTTCTTTCAGATAAAGCCCCCCAGGCCCTTATATCTTGTTCAAATCATGGCTAGCAAGCTTATTATTATACCAGGTCTTTCTCTCAACCTCCTCTAATCCCTTGTCTACAGCTTGCACATCCATCCAGGGATATATCTCCTTCCCAGTAGAGGTCGTAATGTCGGAAGCGAAGTGAAAGAAGAAAACAAAATAGTTGCAAAAATGTCGTTAATGAGAGTCGAGAAAAGAATGGACCATCAAGCGTCGCATAGTATATATTTTCCAAGTGAATCAGTCCAGCTTCCTCCGTTTTGTGGCACGAAAAAAAAAAGTCCTCCTCTTTATACATGTGACTCCACCTCTAATGCCCATATCTTCAGATTTGTACTTCCAAAGAGATCCGCAGTGGTACGACGACCACCGTTAAACGCCGAACAAGATGCTTCGTGCGCCACCTGTACAAGTGGCGGCGACCAAGTTTATAGTGAAAATAGTATGTAATGACCGCAAATTCGCGGTTGCAGCTGGTTCATGTAGCAGCAGTGGAGGCTAAAGATGTATGGTGAGATTGTTCATGATGCAGCAACATGTACAGAACGCTCAGGTATCGGGGATAATCAAAGCAATACGCAAATGCGGACGGTGATATAATCAGATTCTCTCCTGGAACCGTGATGGTGACCCAAATGATCCATCACGCGATGCAATGGAGCCACCACCCGTTGAGCCTCCAAGGGCATCAGAATCCGGCCTTGGCCGTGACGGATCAGTAAAAGGATTCGACTCTGTAACAGGCGTTCGAGCTGGGCCGGACCGAATCACAGGCACACCACTTATTGGCCGCATCGGTGACCCAAGAGCAAGGTGAGGTGAATCCCGGTCACTCGGGTCAAATGCCATAGAGCCTCTCCAGTAGTCGGAGTTACCACTCATGACACTTTCTCGATTCGCCCGACTGGTGGAGGGGGGTCCGGTACGAGGATCGGAATAACCATCACCACCAACCTGAAGAACAGAAGGAAGCTTCTTTCCTGAAACCCGGTAGAAGCCTCTCTCACTGGCAGGCTCCAGTTCGGGGGTTTGTCGTTGCTTTTTACCCATCAGCCCCGCAAACGCGGCAGTGATGGCAGCAGATGCCCCAGCACGTTCAGCCATTGATACGTCACTTCCGCCGTCAGGACCAGATGTTGGGTCACCGATTGACCGCGTTCCAGACTGACTTCCACCTAGTAGGCCACCTCCAGGATGCTTCTTCTTGTACCTGAGAGCAAACAGGATGAAAAACGCCAAGAACGCCACGCCGGCAATGCTGCCTACAACACCACCTATTACTTGCTTCTGTTGAGGCGAGAGTGTACCCGTATCGGTGTTGTTGGAGTTCGAAGTGGTCGTCGCTGCTGGTGGTTGGTTATCAGCTGTTGCGGCACCGCTTCCTCCTTCATTATCTTCGTCTCCCCGCCAGCCAGAAGACCAAGTTTCCTCGGCCGAGATGCTTGAGTATACCGAGTCAGAGTAGTTGTATGTCGAAGTGTCGCTAGGGTTGATAGAAGAGGTGACGAAGGTTGAAGACACCACCACGACAGTGGAAGAACTTCGCGTCCGTGAAGCTGTGTTCGTTGTTGTCGGTATCGTAGTTGTGGAAGGTTTGGACTCTGATTGTGTCACATCGGTCGTAGCTTTAGGAGCATCAGACGTCACTTCTGAGGAAACATCTTGCGTCGCTTCCGAGGTGAAGTCAGATGTAGTCTCTATTAAAGTAGCGATGTCGGTTGTTGTCGCGCTTAGGTCATCTGAAGCAAGCGATGTCAGTTAGCACATGGCCTGGTCATGAACTCAAACTATAAATAGGAGGGGCGAATATTCGTACCGGTGGTTACGAGTGCGGTCTCCGACCCACTAACATCCGAGGCTGTTGTGTCAATGGCAGTGGTGGGAGCAGTTGGAAACGTTGTTTCGTGACTCGCAGTATCAGGATCTGTCGACGTCACAGGTCTATTAGTCTCGTTTGTTGGAGGAACCGTGTTGGATGGTAGATCAACGGTGGGTAGCAACGTCGTGTCATTAACAGGCTCGAGTACTGGATCGGATACGGTCGCATCTGGGATAGGCGCAGACGGCGATGGGTCGGTCAAACCAGGTGTTTCCACGGCGGTCGCGGCGGGAGCGGAGGGAGGTGACGGAACATTGTAGCTCGCAGCCGGATCCGACGCCGCGGCCGCCACGGAGATTTTGGGTTCCGGGTCAGAAATGGCGGCGACGGTGATACCTGAAGCAGAATCCACGACGACGGTAGCAGGTGGTGCGTAATGAGTTTGGACTTCGATTGGCGAACCGACTGAATCGACGACCTGGACAACCGACACAGTCTGAACAACTTGAGTAACGAGATCTTGCTCAGCGCGAGGTTTTAGGGCATTGGCGTTGGCGATGGCGTGAACGTTCTTGGGCTGGGCAGCACGAAGATGGAGGTTGGCAGGCGACTTGCTTCGGTGCAGACGCTGGTGGGAGTGGTGGGAGTGGTGGCCGGTCTTGTGGAGCTGCAGATGGCTCTGTTCGGCTGGTTCGTCGACGGTTCTGTCATCAACGGTTTCGAGCTGATGTAATTGGAGGTGAGCGTGGTGAAGATGGTTATGAGAGATGTCCTTTTCAGGTTCGCTGGAACGCAAGAAGCGAGGGTGCGAAGCAGAGCGAGATTGTTGAATGGAACCAGGGTCAGATTCACTCAGCACGGACAGATCCGAAGTTGGAAGGGAAGATGATTTTGAAGGATCCAAGTTTGAAGGCAAAGGATCGACATCCGTATCCATATTCCCATTGTTGCTTTCCTTACCCATATCCAGGGCCTGAGCGAGTGAAGGCCCGCTGGATGAGTAAGTCATTGGATTGGATATGGATGCGTCGCGGCCGCGGGCGTGGCCCGTTGAGAACGTGGCGATGAACCTGATTACACTCCAGTACTTGCGATCAAGGTGAGGTGCCAATTGGATGCCAATGGAACTTTCACTTCGCTGTACTTTTAGTGGATGTGGCCCTGTAGTGTTGCGTAAAGGTGAACGTTGCAGCCCAGCCCAGCCAACTAACGCAGGGGACGTGCACCAGCCGGTTTCAGAAGCGGATACCTAAAATAACAACACGACTTTGACTTAAGTGGCTCCTTCAGCTGAAGGGGGGACAAGAAGAGACGAATCTGGCCCCGATGCGGAACACAATGCGGTGATCGTATTCGCTAGTGTGTGCTTCGAGAAAGAAGTGTTTCTGCTTTTTTTTTCTTTGCATAAGTGTCAGTTTCCCTAGAGAGGCTGGTTTCCCTTGCGCTGCTTCTAGAATCGGAAAGAGTGCAAATCGTATCAGGTGCCGTCAACAAAGCACATGATCGTTGAAGCACTCGACTCGAAGGGGAATAGCAACAGAAAGAATTGGACTGATGTGGGTGTGATTTGGGGTAGGGACAAAAGGACGGGTCCAAGTTGAATTCTAGGAGGTATTCCGCCCCTATGTAATCTTTGTCCGTCGCTTTTCGGTCCTTGACTCCTTGATTTGAGGTTTCTTTCCAGGTCGGTACGACGCACAATCGATATACGACAACAAATAAATGGCTGATTCCTCGGTCGTGAAACCCGTCCGGCGGCGCTGTTCTGATGGATAGAAGCCCAAGAATTAACGAGCGACAGGGCTATCGTGATTGGTGATTGTTGTATTGCGTGGTGAGTGCTGGCTGTGATATCTGCTCTTGCTTTGTTCCTGTTTGTTGGTTTTTTTTTTTTTTTGGCGTATGCAGTGAGTGCACAAACGATAATGATCCTCCTGATTTATTCGGTGTTGATCTTCCTTTCGTTTCAATCCCAGTATCCAATTACTATTATCGACAATTGTATGGCGACAAACACAAACAGGAACGCTAGTTGGGTCGTCGTCGTCAACGTCGTATAATTCTTGGTCGTCCAGATTCGTCTCAGAAGGAATGGTACAAAAAGAGCGACGCCGTTCAAGAAGAGAGAACAAAGAGAGTGACTAGTGAAGACGATAGAGGAAAAAAGAGAGTATTACGGTCGGTGACAAACGGTAGCAAGAGCAAGGAGAGAAGCCCAAGCAGAGGCAAAAAGAGGGACGGGAAACAAGAGAGACAAGACAAGACAAGACACGGCGGGAGGCGCCTATACCAAAATTGATGTGATGCGGGACAAAGAAACAGGAACAGGCCGAGAACACAAAGCCAAACACGACCTTTCCCTAGGGTACTGTTGATGGTGACCTTCTCAGAGCGTTCCTCAAGGTTGTGCGTGTGTGTGGTGCATGGATCTACGGGGGTCCCTACTTAGTCTGTGGTACTGGTACCTGGAGCTATTCCTATTCTTCTCTCAGTCTTTCCCTTTTCCCTCTCTGTTCCTCATGAATTGCGTGCCTCTCCCCTGTCTATATTCGGTGATCATGCCTATGTTAAACTGGACGATGCGCGGTTATGAATGAGCTAACGGTCATGGACAAGAGGCCCGAGATGGGGATAATCTCGCTTCAAAGATACAGGCCAATCAACGTGGAGCAGCCGTACGACATAACGACATGGGTGAGATCAGTAGGGCCATCACTTTATTAGCCAGTGCCCACGAAATACGACAAGAAACATGATTCGGAGGTATTTCGAGCCGCAGGGGGCATACCACGTTTGAGTCGTGCTCTGGTTGGTGTAATCCAGAATTGATGCTCAACCAACAACATCTTGCGGATGGACTGTTCAACTACAGCGCCCACATTGTACAGAACTTGAACCATGGTGCGGCATAACGTTGGGCCAGATCTGGTATACTCGTCAAGGTCACGTTTAACAATAACCCCTAACACGAAGCAAAGCAATCAGCTAACAAGAAACATTCAACCCGCAGGAGCCACAACTGCGCTTAGAAACCAGGGTCTGATGTGTACAGTGTACAGTACTGGACCCTGACCCAAACCTCGGGGAGCCAGAAAACTTAGGACCTCTATCCTAAGTGATAAAAAGATTTAGGTAAATTTAGTATAAACTTAGGAGGCCTTTAGATCGGTTATTTTTATCACTTACGACAAGTACCTTAAGTTTTCTTACCTCCCCTTGCCAGAATCTAGGTATCCATTCTCTTTGCTTTTGTGACTGCGAACCCAAGGACAATGCTGAGTTGCTGATAATAATAATAACAACGACCCCTTTAACCCGTAGCAACAGGAGTCGTCCAACGCCATCTCATTCAATAGTCAAACTCACCGAGACGCATGAATGAATCCATGTTCTCGGCTGAATAGTCTTACGTACTGTACTATTATCTTAAGCTATTCTTTAGGTGTTGCTAAGACCAAAGTGGTGGGTTTTGGTAGGAGAAAACGGTGGCCCAGCATGGGTGGGTGTGGTCCGGAGTACGGTTTTCATTCAAGCAACGGAAGAAGCAACGCAATCGGGGAAATTAAACCGGGGTCGCTGAGCACGCATGTGTCACGGCAGACCTGACGAATCGGGGCTAACAGGTGAGATTCGATTTAAAGCTTGGCATTTATTGACGGACAGTGACTGCTATGGCCTCGTAACCGATGTATTTATTATGTGTGCCCTTTTTATAAGTGGGAGGTTGCGAAAAGGAGGCCCGGGTGGTTAATCATTCTCGTCAACAGCTGTCAGTGACTTAGTATTTGTATCCGTTGTCAGCTAAGTGATCATCAAATATTCCGAGCTGCAAGTTAATCAACCAATCTGATGTAAAGGATGGAAAAGATCGACATCAAGTTTCGGGTCCCACGCATTAGAAATGTTTATTCTCCTCAATGTTATATCAAGCCTTCGTATATTCTGCACTCTCTTCTTTTCTCTGCCTCCTTCCTCCTTCCTTCTTGTTCCTTTTTTTGACTAGGTACTATCACTAGAAACATTTCTGCCCAGTGACATTCCAATCTCTGAGACTCGAAAATATCCATTTCCAAAAATATCCTTCCACTACGTACACCAAAGGCCTGGCCCGTATAGATATGGGGCCCTGGCCCGTGATGACCTGAGCCTGGGCTCGCCTGCGACAGTGGATCTCTTGTTCTTTGATCATGCCTGTCTTCTCTTTCAAGTCGCCTCAACCTCCCCTGATGCAGGAGTAACACAGAGATTACCGCAGCTCTAGGTTAATTTTGTGTGATGATCGTCTCTCAGACTACGACAAGGTCGTGATGCTCACTGTTATACAACTAAAGCACAAGCTTTTCGTTACAGACTTTCGAAGCCATTTGCTAACTTCATCTCATATTCGTCGGTGCTTGGTTGTCGCAGATACAGATGACGACCATGCGCTCTCGCTCCCACATTCCGCATTGTCCCTTTTGAGATGTCTTTAGGCTAGGAACGAGGAATGTGGCGAATGATTTGGGCCCAGGTTTATGGAGAAGTCCATTTGTATGCTTGGAACTGAATCCATTATCGGTGGGAACGGGGTCTTTCAAATTGTGTCAATGGCTTTGTTGGCCCGAACCACACTAATTGTCTAACGTACACAAAGTTGAGAAAATGTTCGGAATAAACGGTGTAAGCTTAACCTTACTTTGACGTGGCTCGTTCTTTGGGGACCATTTATCATAGTAACAAACAGTCCACCTAGATTATTCAGTCATTCGTGATCCCGACCTCTGAGGAAGGGTGTGTCAGAATAATATATACATGTTGAACTTGGCCAAAAAAAGTGTACTACATTTCGTTTTTCAGGATTTAAATACTGCATATCTAGAGGGGCTAGAGGAGGCAAGAAAACTTAAGACCTCTATTCTAAGTAATAAAAAGATATAGGTAAATTTAGGTTAATTTAATATAAACCTAGTAGGCCTTTAGATAAGTTAATATTATTATCTTCGGTTCAGGTTAGAAGTTGTCTTATTCTCTGGAGGGGTATGCCTTGCGGCTGGGCCCATCTACGCGGGTCAGAATGGTCTCGGATTTGATCATATGAATATCAAGGAAACATTGTCATATCCATCTATTAGCGAGGGCAAAGTTCGAGTTACATAAGCTTTCAGATTACAAGGGTGACTTGGATTGCTATGGTTTGACTAATATCGCTCTTTCATAGATACACATATGAAATTAATATCAGCATGCTCCAGTTGATTACCACTATAGCAAGATCCTTTATTAGATTCTTTTGATTGACTATATGGGCGAGCTTGAGCTATCGCCAATATATAGGCCAGATCTATTGATAGCGCTCATCCTTACTGAACATCCGTCGCAAATCTGAGAAATCAATCGCCAAGTCCGAATGGGAAGACGTGGAGGTTGAAACCTTGATGATTTCGCCGGACAGTAGTGTTTCTGATCCGCTCCCACTGGTAGAAGTGAGGCTTCTCTACCAGGATGCACATCTCTCGCAGTCTAGGATGTTCATTCGCGACAAGGTTGACCAGCACGTTGTAAAACCGTCCCCAATCATGCCGTCCTGTCATTCCCGTTTCATCCATGATGTTTCCGAGACGTCCAGACCAGAAATTGCAGGAAAATCGTTCCAGTTCTGGGAATGACTCTCGAAGCTCCCGCGCAAGACTTCTTACGTTTTCATACTGTTTGGTAAAAAGTCAGTAAGTTCATTGCGCCATAAAATGTCCAGAGGAAGACATACAAATCGACGTCTTTGCTGCAGAGTGTCAATCTTTCTGGCCAATTTGCTTGGACCCTCACAAAGAATCAAGGTCTTCAGATTTCTGAAGCTGCTCCTGGCTACAAATACCGTCCGGAAATTCATTGACAGACTTGGCCTTTCACGAGTGCTGTCTGTGTCGTCCATGAAAAGTCGAAGACTTTCAACACGTTGGAACTCCACATGCTGGCAAGCGAGCCATTGCTCGAATGAAACTCTGCCAACGTCCAACGACTTGAGATGAGTTGACGAGCATTTATTGAGTGCTGCAAACCATATGGTCTCATCTGCTCTGATGCATAGATGTTCAAGTTTGAGTGTAGGGCCGTCGATTAGGCGATGTCTCATTTTGAATTGTTGCTCTGCCTTCATCCCCATCATATCGAGAGACAAAGAGTTGAGAGACGACATGGCATGTATTACATCCACTATCGTGCTCTGCAATGCTTTTTCCTCCGATGAGGCGAGTGTCCCTGAAAAGTTGATTGTCTCCTAATCATATCCACTTGACCTGGGATGCTCTTCGGTGACGAGGATCGTCGCTTTCCTGTGCTTTCATTAATATGAATGTATCACGAAGTCGATAAGACGAACTTGATGAACTTGAGAGGGCTGGACTCATCCACAGCTTTTGAAAGGAGCTTTCTCAACTCGCAGAGTAGTCGATTTTCAATGCCATGAATAAAAACAGTAGGCCACGTCTGGCGATACAGCGGGGGATGAAGAAAGGGGCAACCTCGAACCAGATTCTTAATATCGCGGGAGCTCAGGAATGATGCGATGCGTTGAACAGTCTCATTGGGAATCTTTTGGATGATTGGCGTCGACATCGCGCAGGTTGTTGAAGAGGTCGTTTCAGCAGAGCGAGAAGTGGTCAGGAGCCCAATATGTAAAGAGAATGTCTGATAAAAAAAAATACACAGTTAGCAGTTTCTACCACCATAAGATGCTGAATGAAGTCACCTTGAGGTCTATGATAGCATTTAGAGATGTTCAACGCAGGGTTGTTTTTCAGGAATCAGGTTGATATAAAGAACGCCTCCTCAAATTGAATACAGTTGAAAACATATACTGTATATAGAATATTTAAGATACCCGCTTGGCACTTCGAAGACAAGGATCCGTGGCTGGAGGCATTCGGAGGTGTAGGTTGAAGATGGATGAGAGAGGATCAGGTCAGGTGTCGAAGGGAAAGCGTATATTTATAGATGCGAGAGGCCATGAGTCACTGAGGAAGTAAGTGGCCTTTTCAAATGTCATTGCTCGCCTATTTCCTATGCTCATTGTAAGAACAAATAGTGTGCCGAAGGTTTTCAGATTTAGGGAGCACATATGACCCTAAACTTAGGCATTTAGGATCCCATATACTCCAGTTATTCTCTAACTCTTTGTCAGGTAGTTCTCTTCTTCGGCCTTTCAACACCTATCAAACTCGATTCTTCGGCCATCGGCCATCGACCCGGGGCGATATCATCCCTTACGAAGCAACTAGACGCAAAGGATAGTCGCTCAAAGAGCAAACTGAAAGAAATTCATGACTGATACGACAGGCTCTGATCAAAATGCAACTAGTGTAGCTTCTGATCGCACTTTGGCCCTGGAACCCCAACCAGAGGACTTTTTATCATGCCGAAAGACAGCCAACAGAGGCGACTAGGTTCATACATGTAAAGCGAGCAATTCAAGATTCGACTTTCACGGTAGCTTTCTGTGACATAGTCGCACTGGGACCGTCTTTCCAAGGGAACGATCATACAATCTGACGAAGTCAAACAGACATTGATCATGAAGTTTGACTACTAGGTAGGGGGGTAAGAGAATGGGAGACCTCAGTTATGAATGACAGAAATACTTGGGCTGCTTGATTCAACTTCTGAAGTTTTTGACTAAGTATGCTTAGCTTCCTGAAAGGTCTCCATTTTGTTATTGGTCTCCCCAAGGCTTGGATATCGGTGCCACTCGCACATCTGGGTATCTGTATTATCCTGACTATACTCACAGCATGCATTCAAAACTTGATCACTTAAATGTTCCCGTTTCCATGTCTTGAATTGTCCTTTTGGTCATGTCATCTTGCACCCACCCCATGATTCGGTTGCCAACATCTCCAACGAGCTTCTCGTAATGTTGCCCCGCGAAGAAAAGACCACAGTGTGCGCCGACTTCGTCCACGTCTGCCATGTAGATGTCGACCCATGTTGGATCATCTATTCTGCCACCCTTTGTAGGCAGATTGCAGAATTTTCGGAGTTTCCGGGGTTTTGATGACTTAAGGCCACGAGCCTCGGTGATGGCTTCGGCTTCGGCTTCAGGTTCGTATTGGTTTTCAAGATTTTTGGTCCGCTGGGTGTCTTCATGTTCTTGCACCTTCTGAGCCTCGTTTTCGTGCTCAGAAGCTTCCTTGATAAGGCGTTGCTGTTCTTTTTGCAATTCTTTATCTTTCCGTTGCGATTCCTTGAGAGCTTCCTTTTCCTGTCGAGCAGCCTCTTTCAGGGCTTTCTCTGCCTCCTTGTGGGAACGCTTCTGACGCTTTTCGATGAGTTTCTCACGCTCCCGTACTGCCTTGGCATGGTCTTTCAGGGCGTTCTCGTGGGCACGTCTAATACGCTTGGCCTCACGTTCGACTTGCTTGCGCTCATCTTTTTCCGTATACATACTGGGGTCGGGCATATCAGGGGTTGTTGGGGGATCAGGGAGAGGAGGCAGATCCGTGTCTTCCTTTCCTGGTACTGAATTGTTCGTTTCCTTGGTGTCAATAGGCGCTTCGTCCTGGAAGGTGTCGGTAGCAGTATCCGGCAGAGGATGAGCTGGAGAGTCCTCGTCAATTGGCGTGGGATCAATGCTGTGCATGGAGAACCGGCTGATGTCAGAGGCCAAAGTTTCATATTCATCGACTGAACTGTCTTTTATTGTAGTATCCGATGCTCGAGACCGTGGAGTTTTTACATCTGAATCTAGCAAAGTTTTGTGATCCTTGGAGTTTCCCAGGGTATCACGATGCTCTAAGGTGATGATAGGCAAAGGACTCTCCTGTCGGGTATGCGGTTGGCTCTGTTCCTCGACGTTGATTTTATTTGATGAAAAGTCCAATTCCACAGAAGACGAAGATGCTGAACTGTTCGATTGGGTATATCTCGTCTCGGGAGAAGTTGTGTTGGCCGCACTAAGCTGGGGGCTACTAACATCGGGGCTTGCCTTAGGTGATTTTGGGCGCCCCGTGCACAGTGTGTAGTAGTTGACGAAGCGTACTCTTGCCAAATTCCGATTTGAGCCCTGGTTCATCTCTCCTATTTGAAGATCATCAATATCTTCCAGGGCACGTATCTTGCGATACCGGGATTCAAGTCCTGCCGGGTCAGCAAGGCAGCTGCCAAACTCCAGGTAGGAGAATATGTGTTTAGCGGCAGCCTGTATCAATCCCTCGGAACGATACTTGTTGGCGAAGTGAAACATACGTTGTACAAAGGGGCGTTCTTGCAAGCCCGAGTCGTTGAAGAAAGGTTGGTTGAAGTACGGCTGGTTAGAGAAAGGATCGCGTTGCGGCTGAGATGAGGATGCAATTGAAGGAAGACTTGTGGATGATCCGGGATCAGTGCTTTGAGAGTTGGTAAGATATAGTGATGAGACACTTGGGTCACCAGAGATTGACGCCTCAGGACTATTAGGAGCTGTGCCACTGAGGGTTTTCTGGTTGTTATCTTGTGGTGGTGTAGGTGCGGGTTTGAATAAACTAGATATACCAGACACAACGATACCCGGATGAAGGCCAATGAATGGACAATCCAGAGATACATGTCCTATAATTCGGTGCTTGAACGGATATAAACCATATGGGCTTGGGTTGGGCTGTCGTCGAGTTTAGCAATATTCATGTACAGCAGAATGAGTCGACATACCATAAGTACAACATCGGCGGCCAGGATACCTCCCATCGAATGCCCAACAAGAACAACATCAGTGTTTGGTGACTCATGGGGAAGAAGCCATTCGCTGAAGTTATCTCGTGCGACGCCTACTGAGCGATAAGTCTTGTAGCGCGGATAAATCTTAGAATGAATGACATGAGAGTCGGCGAGGAGGTTGGCCAGAAGAGCATGAACATGGGCAGGAAACGATCGAAAAGACTGGTCGTTTCCTAAGAATCCATGAATGTAGATGATCAGAAGCTTGCGCCGACCTGAGTAATCAGCAGGGGATGCAGCCTGGTTATCTCGAGAAGTGTCGGGTAGAAGAGACTGTGTAGACGAAGATCGTGGATCTGGGCCAAGCCATGGTCCAGAAGAAAGAGTATGCATGTATGGTCCAGGAGTTGATGTTGAAGAAGACGCAGCTGAGGGTGGTGTTTCGTAAATAGCTGAGGTTGAGGAGTTGACTGGCTTTCGGGGAGGTATTGGAGGCTTTTCTGAGTAGGCTGGCGGCGGCGGTGATGAGGGGTCCATGATATTTATTGATGAGAGATGACGTGGAGCGAATGATAGAAAAAATGGCAGGAGTTTGAATCAATCTCAAACGTTACAGCTTCTCTGTCTCTGATTTACTCATTTGATTCTTCAGTGGCTTGTCGGCTGAACTTGGCAACATTGGTGAATCAGTGTTGTTGTATAAGGTGACAAGACGTTGAGGATAGTGACAAGTGTGGGGTAGTTATTTAGGCGTTGGGTCTTGAAGAGGCTGTGCCTCATGTACAACGTACAACGAATTGATCAGATTTGCCTCAGGCTGTGTGACTGGTCCATCCATAAACGTGGAATTCTGAAACACAGATGATGTCGACGGTGCCAAGATCGACAGCGATGCACCAACTTTCAAGTGATTGCAGCCCAGCCCAGCCCAGCCCAGTCAGGTTGGTGTTGTTAGTTTCTAGTTCTGGTCAGCAGGTGGGATGCCTCACGAAATACTCTCAAGGTTGCGAGTAAAAGGTGGGGGGCCCTAGGATAGAGCCTCGCAATAATATCATAGTTATGTTATCTTATAAAGCTATAATATTTTAACGTTTTAATACTCTATTAATAAGAATAATGTTTTAAGGTAATAGATTTGGTATAATTAGGACACTATAAAATTTTTATTATAAATTTTACTATTATATATAAACTTCTGAGGTATCCTTTCGAATTCAAAGTGCTATAAATCTGCTTAACTCTATACACTTAATGCGTTCTCCTTCGCAATGCAAGTGAGGGCTATCTAAGGTACTATAGATAGATCGTTCACTCACGTTGTTGTTCACAGTACACATGGAGTCCTTGATGTAGCTGTATCAACATTTGGAAGGTCTTGCAGACGAGTTGCATATATTGTTCTCAGGCTCATGGTATTTTATCTATATATTCTCTCCAGCATATTTATCTTTGAACATCACAGGAAGCACATCTAAATGTGGTCCTCGCCATCTGAACGTTATCCGCCCTCATGCCTAGGTAGTCCTGTGAACTATGGAAGAAACACGACGAGCAGGAAAACGGTCGACTCATTTGAGTACTTGTGTCCTTCATCCTTGCCACACCTTAAGCGTGGAACTAATTGGGACATGACAGTCAGAACTATGTATTGTTCATCTTGTAGGATAGGCATATCTTGGCAAGATTGGTGGGAGGGACACCATCTGGCACAGTGAAGCCCCATGCCCACCTGAATGACCACAAAGTGTGAGACCATTCGATTTCGTGAGATGAATATCCCTAATTTGGCCCCTAATTCACTAAAATATCATAATTTCGCTCCATATAGTTGTACGAAGTCGGTGTTTAGGATCCGGGGACGATGTTGGAAATGCATGACACAATCGTAGGCGACGCTGCGAAATATTGCGACGGAATGAGTGGCACTGAATCTATTACAAGATTCAAGATGCAAGATACACAGTTATCCAAGTGAGGGTTTTGTATAACGTATCAAAGATGAATAAGTGATACTGGATGTTCGACAGTTAGCACGCCTTCGGATAAGGGGGTTTCCTCTAAGAGACTGAGACAATAGAGGATCACAAAAGATGAACAGTAGAACAAGAAGATTTTTATACCGAAATTTACTTCCCTAAGGTAAGGTAGACTTATAGTAAATTCAGGCCCCCAGGCTCCAGGGCAGGCTACAAGCGACGGGCTACCTCTGGGTGAATCACTGCTCAATACTGGCCGTAATTCACTTGGCTTAGCTGTATAACTACCTGTATAAACACCAGGTTTCTCCTTTAAACTAAACATTCTCACCTTCTCGATCTCATATCCGTCGCCAAATTCAGTTGCAACTCGTTCCCCTGGATTTAAACTTCACGTCCCGCCAAGATGCCTTCCATGCGTAAGATAAACAGAACCCTCAGAGCTCTAGGTTACAAAAACCAGGAAGAGCTTTTTCAAGAGGCCAAAAGAGACTTCGAGAGAGAACTTGCAGAGTATAACCAGAGTCTGGTCTCTGAGCGCACCCATAAGCCCACTGAACCCCTCAAGGATCGGCCTACTGAATGCTTCGGCAAACCAAAGCAAGAGGTACGCTCAATAACTATTGCACCGTGCAAAACTCACTTTACAAGATCCAGGACCATCCCCATGACCGAAAGGCAATTCACGAAGACCATGCCAAGATCACAATCTCTGGAGAGGAAGCCAGCATCAAGGCCGAGAAAGACAAGTCGATGAACATCGGGAAGAAAAGCACAGAGAGAAAGGACTCGAAGGACAAAGAGATTTAACGTTGAGGGATATGGAATATAAAGAAAGGTTGATTCGCCGCGGCCGGTTGGAGCTACTTGATCGCTCTTAATTTGAGATTCCTCATTAAATCTGCACCGTGCTCGCAGATAGAGAGATACTGGCCGCAATTGCTGAAAGAAGATATTAGCTATTGAGAAATGGCCAACTCTACACACTTTGCCCAACTTATGTATATAACTCGTCCATTAATTGGCTTAAGCCAGTTACGATGTGCCTCGTTCTCGTGTGATTTTACTTTCCAGATATTAATCGTAATATTCTACACTATGGTATTCCGTATACATATGAGATGGTATCTAGACAAGACATCCGACGAACACCGTACCAACCGTTTAGCCATCCATGCAATACTTATCCATCTTTTGTACACTTCCGGATCTATCCAGGCATTTATTACGTATAGGGTTATCTATATCATCTTTTATGGCCGAACATGTAACCCAGATGATGACATATAGAAATTAAGAATGTCATGAAAATGGGGGTTATAGCATGCAGATGTATGCACGCATAAAAGGCGATTATCAATAGATATCGAGCTCTCTCAGCTGCACATCTAGCCTCCTCTCGTTGTTCATCGCCCCTTTCACAACAGCTGTATCCTCGTCCACACCAAGCAAGCCACCAGCACCAAGCTCGAGTATGCCAAGACGAACCAGAACATCCTCAGCATTCCAGTTGCGCCGGCCGCAGATGAGAACGCTGGCAGAATCGTAAGACTCGTCGACTTTCCAATCGCGGCCGGAAATGAAAGCGCCGATAAGCTCATGCTCGCCGGGCGGGAGTTCTGAAGGGGACTCGGGGGACGATTGCGCTGCACGGAGAAGTAAAGCTGCGATAGAAGAATGAAAGGCGTCGAGGAGGTCGGGCGACGTGAGTGTGATTGTTGCTGCGCTTGAAGAGGTGGAAGCGGAGGATGTAGCAGGAGAAGGCACTGTAAGGCGGATTTCGAAACAATATGTAGTGAGGCGGAGAAAGGTGATTGGTGTTGAGCGAGCGGCAATTTCATCGCCCTCTGTTTCCCAGCAGAGGGTCTTATCGTCCTTAAAGCCGATAGAAATAGTCATATTGGGAACTGCTGAAATGTTGTCGACAACAGGAGCTTCCTCGCCAACTTGGTAAAAGCTCAGATTTGGCCCATGTCCAGTGTACTCGGGGCGGAGCTTCCAGCCGAGCCAGCTCCATGAAGGGAATGGGCCCTGAAGCTGCAAGGGGTGTGTCGATATATCGACATTGCCTGGGGGGTCGTACAGCCAGCCAAGACCGACAGCTAGCCGATCAGTTCGCGTAGGACTAGGCATGCTTTTAAAGTCCTTTTCATGGAAGAGAGGGAGCCCAAGAACAGTTTCCAGAGCATTATCCATCTGGGCATACTTGTCCAGTATACCCCTGAAAGCGTCCAGACGGTCTTCTGGGAATGAAAATTCACGACTAACGTAGCCGCTGACAATATTCCTATAATCGCCTGGACGGCCGCCAGCGCCGTTATCGGGAAATACGCGACCGAGGTTAAGGGCGGGTTTTGTCTGTAGAGGGAAAGAGATGGATTCGTGGCAGTGGAAGGTTTGGCACTGAAAGTAGATTTGCGATGGAGTAAAGACCAGGCGACGACGTGATAGGAGTCCTTCCTGATATGTCCAGCCACGGGATGCCCACTTAGAGTTGGCCACTTCAACATCAGGTCTCGTAAGTGATGTGGTGAAACATCCAGCCTCGGTCTGCAGTGATAGTTGCTCTTCACGCGCCAGACTGATACCGGGAATGCCGTCTTGCACGCCTTGGCCAGCTGCGACAATAATGGTTAATGCAGAGCGAGCATAAATCTCTCCCATTTTATCCAATTGTCGTCGGCGTTCGTGAGCGTTATATTGAGGGAAGCAAAAACGATCAATCCAGAGATAGCGAAAACCAAGAGACTTGGTCACAGCTATTGCGTCGGTAAGCAGCGGAGGTAGCACCTCGGGCAAGCCGTTGTGATCCCATTCCTCGTCGGTCGGACTGCCTCGCACATAGCTCAGTGTGACATACTCGAGTGCCTCCACGTTGAGGTCGTCCACAAACACCACCTGGTTGTCCTCGCAGTCCACAAGCTTAAGACCTCGGATCGGTGGCCCAGACGAAGCGCATTTCGTATGAGAATGGTTGGACCTACAAAAGTCCAGCCAGGTCCGAGGCAACGCAATGTCAAGCTTGGGGGGTATCACACGGCCTCGGATCACAGGTGTAGTCTCGTTATACCCAGCCATATCATCATCCCTTTCCACGATTCGCACGATATAACCCCACGGCAGCACCTTGCTCTTGGTTGTAACCTCAAATAGAACAGCGCCTCCAAGTTCATGTTTCTCTCCGACTCCGAGGCGCTCAAATGCCTGGCGAATGCGCAGATAGGGTGTGAACTTGCGTGTCATGTCCGGCTCAGCGCCTACTAGGGCTTGAAAGAAAATGCAATATGGGCAAGCTGATAGCTCGGCGAGGGTGTGAGCCAGCGGGATCCAAGGTCGCGGCTGTCCTGGGCGCCAATTGAGCAGTGACGGAAAATCGATTGTCGCACAAATGGCACAGGGCTGATTCTCTTCATCGGCGATAAGGCGACTAAGACCATTTCTTGCAGGTTTCCTATGCTCTGGCCCTGCCCCACGGCGACGTCGTGATGTAAGTTGGTGAACATCGGGGGAGCTCTCTCGTGTAGACGCAGAATCTTCGGTCTGGTGGTGTCCATTGGCGCTCTCTGGGCGACCGCGCCCAAGTCGTGTGAAGGCAAAGAGCCTCGATATCTTCTTCATCCCAACACGAGCAGCTGTATTTTGACCCGCGGAGGGTTTGGCTGCCGCCGCGCCATTCTGGCTCATTGGGCTATCGGATCGTTTGCGAGCTTACGTTGCGTGGGTTGACGCGACAGTAATGGCGGTTTGCGACATGCGAAGATGTAGTAATGGCGATGATAGTCGCAAAGTATACGGAATTTCAGCGAGCGTTTGGTGGTTTAGTTGATTTGATTTCGGTACTTTAGTGCAAATGCACACGCGGGGCTAAAAGTGACGGCGTCGCCGAAAGGGGTCGAGCAGCGGGGATTAAAGAAAGGAGAGGGAAGGAAGATAGACGCCCACTGGGTATATCGATCTTGCTTCCCCTTTTCAGCTCCAACTCATGGTAGTCGAATCGATTGTCAAAATGAATCTTTTAGGGGAACTGAGGGCGCTGTGGTTGTAGTGTAGCAGAGAAACGAGAAGGGATAGTCTATGGAATAGGCAATTCCTCTAATGGGGAGGAGGTGGTGTGCTCATGCTTGGCATGACCGAAGGCACCGAGGTAGCAATCCAGAAACGAGCCAATTATAATAATAAATATAGTAATTACCTTATTAATGACAGAAGCAACTGGATACGTCCGCATTCAATGTGTGAAGTTATACAGAGTAACGTTTCCGTTACTACATTCATCCCTACTTTACCTGCCATAGTAGTATCGTATCATTCTCGAATGCTACACGCTCCTAGTGTCTCTTCCAAGGCCAGACTTCGATTTGAGGAAGCTCTTATGACCTTACCAATCATAACCTAAGATCAGACAGACATCGGTCTATCATACGTCGATATATACAAATGCATACGTCTAAGTCTAGAGCCTGAAAAATCGGTAAGAATAATAGCAGATCATATCTTATCCGGAACAATGGATGGAGAGTGTTTCTTTGCAACAGTGGCCTCTTCGTTGATATTTGGTAAATTTCCTTCGGATCCCATTGGATACTGGATGTTGTATCTATCGTCTTCTTCTGCCAAAACGCCATCCAAGCGCCATTCAGCTAGTTGGAGAAGCACCTTGGCTTGGCTAGGCTTGGTCCAGCAAAGAGCAAAGCTTGAATGGACCCTTAAGATTAGTTACGGCGGAAGCCCATTAAAGCTAGCCAAGTCTGGGCTCTGATGGATGTCGGGTCCATTGATCACGCCGCAAATCTTCTTCTTCTTCTTAAAGTTATCTCTGATAGATAGTCACAACAAGATCATTAGTAAACTGCCTTAGTGTAGCCCCTTCTGTTCCATCTATCGCTGGAAATGCTTCTGTCTGCCTTATTCAATTACTCTAAACAAAGGCAATATGTAACTGTGTTTGCCTTGTTATAGTAACTTACCCTCTAAAAGACCCTGAAAGAACTCACAATTTAGCCAATGCCGGGAATAAAAATGGAGCACCCACATGTCGTCCGGGCTTCTGGATTAGGAATGACGATGCAGGGGCAGGGGTTCTTTGGTCTTGGGCTGCATTTCAATGCATGGATTTTTTCCTTTTTTCCGTCAACTTGGCATGCGAGCTCTTTCGAATCGTTCATATAAAAACCCTCGTTTACAAGACATTGGATCAAGTCCTGACTTGTCCACATCACAGCATGAAATAATGCTCTTTTGATGTTTGTAATAATCCAGATTATTCATCTCTTTTAGTCTTTCAGTTCCGTAAAACGCTAACGTGTGTCTGGTGCAACCATCTCGGCCGATTCCACGTGGAGCTTGTGCTTCCGAGACATCCACCTTACTAGCGTTTCTTCTCATAACATAGAGCATGCACTCCTGATTGAACAAGAATTCTTGTTCTGTATCCCGTGCATTGTCTTTGATCTGACACTCGATTATTCATATTATTGTGATCTACTGACGTTCAGCGGTACAGCTGTCAATTCAGCCCCAAGTCCGTGCGACCCGACGTCATAGCGAAGAGGACCCTTGGCATTAAGCAACATTTTGGTACAGGGTAGTGTAAGGTATGGGTACAGATTCCCGAACTACAACTGGCCGCGTGACTTTGCTCTGGGAGAACCAGACAAAGATTTCAGGCATTCTGAGGTATCATTCATTCCTTGTATCCGAGTTCGTTCAGGTTTCAGATCGTGTATGAAACTGAATTGGTATAGACAGATCACATCATAACAATGTAGATATCAAGGAAATAGTCCTATCTAACTGTATCATAGTTAATAGGTCGAAACGAAGACTACTTTTGAAACTGGGGAGCACCCTGCTTCTTTATAGAATTCTTTTTCTTTTAGAAAACTAAAAATATGGCCATACACGCTAGATAAAAGTTCAACAATGCATGGATTAAGAGGTCAACTTCAATCAATCTGTATATCTAGCTGTATCCATTTTCACTGTCACCACCATCATATTCCACACCTAGCTCTACGAAATCAGGCATAAGCAAGGGTATTGTCGTGTCGAATCTTTCCGGGAATTCCGATGTTGACCTCTCCTCCAACCACGGAAGGTCCTCTCACGACAATCTACGAATTGTTAGCATGTCAACGAATATAAGTACTTTGGTGGGTGGCTTACATGGCCTTCAATCTTCTCATCAGTAGTCTTGTGAGCGCCAGCGTCCTTGAGATACAACTCAACACTGGTCAATGGAGGACCAAAGTGTGTCTTGGCATCAACCGGAAGTCGATAGTCGTAGAGAGCGGTCTGGCAAATAGCTCCAGCCACCTTGGCTGCGGTTAAAGCGTACACAACCCTCGCGCCAGTAAAGATGCGCAGATCCGACAAAACGTTGGCTGGGAGGAGAGGGGTATCAGAACCTGCACGCTCTGCAACAAACACCAGACGAAGCTTGCCAGGTGTCGTGCCAAGTGCCGGGGCTGCGCCAGAAGAAAAACCAGAAAGGAAGTTGGAGGTGGCATGAACTCCCTCCAGAGCCAGAGAGCGAGTAGCCATGACATGTGAGGCGTTGGCCAGAGAAGATCTCAGTCTAGACGTGGACTCCTCATGAGTCTTGAGAAGTGTCTCGGGACTAGCGACCAAAACCGTGGGAGCAACCCCCTGAGTTGCAAGAACCAGGTCTGGCGACTTGCCGGCGACCGAGTTCAGCGCAACAGAAGCATTCGAGTAGAGAGCGCCAAGTGTAAGAACGAGTGTATAGACATTGGCAAGAGAATCAGCGGGCAGAAAAAGGTCCGATGGGTTGATGCGCTCCTTGGTTGGGATAGCAGCGAGTTGAGCAGAAATGGCAGAGACAAGGTTGGCCTGGCTGAAGCGCACCATTTCCTCAACCTTGCCAGGCTCAGTCTGCCAAAAGGTGACGACATCGGATGGAGTCTTCTCGGGGTCGATAGTTGGGAGCTCGGTGCCGGCATGGGCGGGAGAGTCGCGAAGAATATCCTGCCAAGTAGCAACGTTCATGTTACCGCCGGTGCCTTCGGGAATCTCATTCCAGTCCATGTGGCTACTTCCTTCGTCTGTGACCCAAATGAGTTGTCGAAGAGATGGGTAGGCCTGGATTACAGCATCGAAAGGGAATGCGCCAGGAGCGGTAATCAAGGTATCAACGGCAGAGCGGCGCAACATGGAAACAAGCTCATCATTGGACACATCGAAAGGGATCAGGACCGTTGTGAGGTTTGGGTAGAAGCTGCAGGCGAAAAGCGTTACCAAAAGCTCGACTGAGTTTGGCAGGTAAACGGCAACTCTAATGCCACCAGTCTCGGCAATGTGTTGACCAATAAGATTGATCTGACGAGTGATATCATCTTGTGTTTGTTAGTATTGTCCAGTTTTGCTGACATGTCCAAACCATACCGAGCTTGTGATCCACAACGTTTTGGGAACCGAGGGCAGTCAGAATTCTTCCCTTGGCCGCGTTCTCGCCGCCCCCAGCTGCCCTCTTCCAGATATCTCTCAAGTCGCCATCACGACCGCGAGACCACTTAGAAGCTCCAGTATCCTTCACATTAAGACCAGTATTGAGCGGCATGCCATGAGGAGCAGCCTGGGATCGGTAAATAGGACTCTCTCCTTCATTTCGAACTGACGACGGGACAGCTTGACGAGCTAGGAGCATGGGATGCACATCGGGATCGCGGGTCGAAATAACTCGATATGAGACCACAGCAAGCAGGAGGGTCACCAGACCAGTCGAATAGACGTTCCACTGGCCGAACAGGTTGGTGACGCCTGCGTCGAGGCTGTCAAAGACGCCCATAATCGGTTATATATCTCGCTTATCGTGTATTGTAATGCGACAGACTCCAGGACTGTGTTATAGTTGGAGCCGGGGCAAACTAGCCATGTAGATTTAAAAGTCCTTCGCTAGATGTGGACTCGAGTGTCATATTATAATGAAGGTCTCAAGTTTTGGGCGGGGAAGAGAATGAGGCGGCATTGATGGAATGGATGTGGGGAAAGCTTGGGGCTGAGCTGAGAGCTTCACGTCACTCTCTCTTGGCTGGCTGCCTCTGACTGTGTAGTAGGTATTAACCAACAGACATACCATCCAATGGCGTCCGAACAAGATCCTCATAAATTAGCGATGTCAAACATCGTAAGCGACTTTATCGTCGACAAATATTAATGAACCTATATGAAAACCATCCGCACAAGGGGTTGTTTAAGACGGCTACCTACTTCTCAAAACAACCTTATTACCATTCAACCAACTGCCGGATTTTAAGCCCAGGACATCAGTTTTAAAGCCTGATATAGCTCTGACTAGAGCTTCCCATTGTAGGAGAATACGACAGGCTGGTTTAGCTTTATCCGAAACCCACCTCCCCCGATTAAGTAAAGACAATGGAAAGCCTATGGATAGAAAGCCAGGAAAGGAGCCTTTCTGTACAAAGTATAAGGTAGTCTTAGTTGATGGTGACGTTTATCAGATAAAACAAATTTCAATAAGATATTCATAAGATGAGATAAATTTCAATAAGACTTAAGCATATTTTTCATGTTGAGAAATCCGGGCCTAATATTAGACTAAGGTAATTTGCAAATTATTGTTCACAAAGACGTCACTTAACTCAAAAGCTCACTGGAGTCAACCTTGACACAGTTCCGCGCTACTGTTTCCGTTCCACACTACATACAATCTTTCACACATCACTTACATCCGTTCTACACAACATGTCTAATCAAAGGCGTTAGTGAGCACCGCGCAGCGCGCTTATCAAGGGTATGCATCCACGTTACATTGATACACACTCGTAACAATCAGGAACATCAATGTAAAACAAGGCGTTTTTTTAATCAGGACTCCTCAGTCCAGTCTGGTTATCTGTTCTACTACGGGAACTGAGTCCATGCATCCATGGTCCCGTCTTCAGAAGCCTCGTGACCCATTCATATTCCATGAGTCAAAGCCTTCGTCGTGTCCTCCTGACTTGCAAAGAGCAAGAGCTTTTATTTTCCTTTCCATGCCGTGCCGCCCAAACCAAAATCCATAACCTGTGGGCGTCGCGCGGCAACGCTCGTGCTCTCCGATCTGTTTAGTTATTAAAACAGACATAACCGTCCTGTTGACCATTAACCTTTGTTCCCTCCAGCTGTGCTTATTGCTCTCCCTCCGGTCCCCGTTCCCAACAGGGACCAGCGAGCAATTCGTGACCAGAGAACCGAGAAATCCACTTTTGTCTATGTGTGTGCACGGCGAAAACATGACCCTCTATCGTGAATGCGTGAAAAATGCCCTTGGGGTAAAGGGGATAACCCCAGGTAGACGGCGGAAACATAATATTCGTAATGCTGTGTCAGATCTGTTGGCTCACAAGCCTAGATCCGTCTGCATCACAGCGTGCTCCCAACGTCTGAAAGCTCCCCACATCTCGGTCTAAGGGTATCAAGCGACGAGTACGCCGAAATCAAAGAAACGCAATCTATCAGATGCTTCGTGAAATCCCTGGACCGAACCGAATACTGCCTGTTGCCAGTAGCGATGGCATTCGTCTGCCACAGATCATGGTGCCGCCGTGTCGTCCAAATGCAAGTCGTGCATGCAACCAGATAACATCGAGAGAAAAAAAAACATAATAGAAAATTCGCAAACAGGTGATGCTGCAGAATGCGTCCGCTAGCATCGTTCCGCACCTGACAAGGTGTGTAATTCTCGATGGTGTCGAAATGGTTACCACCAAGAAGACTGAGCTCCAGGGCCACTAGGGTTACCATAACCACCACCTCCGTAGCCACCGCCGCCGCTGTAGCCACCACCTCCGTAGCCGCCGGAGCCACCGAAACCGCCTCCACCATAGCCTGAGCCCTGAGAAGGAGCGTTGAAGCCGCCGCCGCCGCCGTTGTTGCCGCCGAAGCCGCCACCACCACCACCGCCGAACTTACGGAAGTCACGTGTTGCACCGCCACGGCCACCACCACCACGAGAACGACCACCACGACCACCACCACCAAAGGAAGACTCGCGAGCAATGGTCTCGAGGAAAGCAGGAACCTCTTGATTAGCTTCCTTCAGGAGATCCATAAGCTCCCGGACAATTCCGCGGTTGCCCCGGTTGAAGAAAGCGGTCGCAATACCGGTGTTTCCGGCACGACCGGTTCGACCGATTCGGTGAACATAGTCATCAACATCAGTAGGAAGATCGTAGTTGATAACATGCAAAACATTTGGAATGTCCAAACCTGAGAACGTAGTTAGTTCTTATTCTGTTTTTGTATCGTGGTTATGAACTTACCTCGAGCTGCGACAGCGGTAGCGACCAAAATCGGGCATCGACCGTTGCGGAAAAACTCAAGAGCGCGCTCACGCTCACGCTGGGTACGGTCACCGTGAATGGAAGTAGCTGGGAAGTTCTGGTTGATAAGGAAATCTGAAAGCGAATCGGCCATACGCTTGGTCTCGACGAAAATCAGGGTCAGACCATTGGCGTTGGAGTGAAGGATATCCAGAAGAACGGAGCGCTTGTCAACATCTTCTACATACTCAACCTTCTGGGTGATGTTCTCGGAAGTAGAACCAACACGACCGACAGAAAGGAAGATATAGTCCTTGAGGAAATCGCGGGCAAGCATCTGGATATCGCGGGGGAAGGTGGCCGAGAACATGAGAGTCTGACGGTCCTGAACTTGGGGCATGTCCTCACCCTCGACAATGCGGCGAATCTGAGGCTCGAAACCCATGTCAAGCATACGATCGGCCTCATCAAGGACAAGATACTTGATGTTCTGCAGGGAGATGCGGCCTCGTTCTATGAGATCGACCAATCGACCGGGAGTAGCAACAAGCAAATCGCAGCCACGCTCAATCTGTCGGAGCTGGGAACCAATGTCGGCACCGCCGTAGACAACGCAAGGTCGGACCCAAGATCGGTAGGCGAACTTTCGGGACTCCTCAAAAATTTGGGAGACAAGCTCGCGGGTAGGGGCAAGAATCAACGCGGTTGGGTAAGCCTTACGCTGACGGCCGAACTGGCCAGCGGCATTAGCGGGCACGGGAGAAGGGCCGTTGAGGAAAGACTGAGAGAGGATGGGGAACAAGAAACCACCCGTCTTTCCGGAACCAGTCTGAGCACAAGCCATCAGATCACGACCACCCATAACGATGGGAATCGAGTACTTCTGGACAGGAGTGGGAACCTTGTAGTGAGCGAGCTCGATGTTGCGGCAAAGATGCTCGTCCAGAGGAGGAGTGGTGAACTGGTGAACAGGCTCAGGAACCTCATGACCAGAAGCCTCAACGGGAATGTCATCGTACTTCTCGAAGTTGATACCAGTGTGCTGCTTAGAAGGGTCGTCGGGGGTACCGAAAAGCTCGCGCTCGACACGGGGGTTAGCCGGGCCAGGAACGTGCTTTCCATCGCGCCACTGGCCATCACCAGAGCCGCGGGCAGTGTGACCACCGCCGCCGCCAGAGTGACCATCCAAGTTGCCGCCACCACCGCTGTAACCACCTCGACCGCCCCAGCCGCCTCGGCGGTTGTTGTTGTTGTTCTGGTAGGTAGGAACGTCGTTGCCCCAGTTGGACTGACGGGCACCATAGTTTTGGCTGTGAGTTGTTAATGACCGTTCCATCAAGTGCATCTAGATAAAAAAAAACACTTACTTAGCCCAGGCACTGTTGCCGAGACCGTTGGGACCAGGTCCAGCAGGAGAAGGACCACCGTTCATAGCGGGAGGACCACCCTGAGGAGGGCCACCCTGGCGGCGCATGTGAGGGGGGATGTAGGATCGTTGACCCTGAGCAGGGCCCTGCTGGACGCCATCATTGAGGGAGAGACCACCCATGTTGATTTGATCAGCCATGATGACAGTCGTGTTTCGGATCAGAATAGTCGTGGAAAGATAGTTGGGTCGTAAAGACGCGTAAAATCCGAAGCCGGCGAATAATACTCTCAAATGCGAAAGAGAGTGATGGTGTTGTGAAATTCCCGTCGAAAGAAAAGACAGGAAAAACAAGAGAGAAAGAAACGGAAGACCAACGCTTCCAATAATTTCCCGAAATAGATTACTTTTGAGCACAAACAAATGCCAGTGCTATGCAATTATCCCTCGAAGAACACGCAGAATCTTCAAAGGAGAGACGAAGGAAAGACAGAGTCTTGAGAAATAACACGGATGGAGGGGGGATGGAGGAGGTTTGTGGGATGAAGGGTTTGTTGTGGGAGGAAGAGGGAAGAAAAGGGACAGAGTTGAGTGAGAGAGGCGAAAGAAGAGTGGGAAAAAAAAATTGGTTGATGTGATCAAATAGGCTTAGTGCGGGCATCTGTCGAGTTCAAGATTTTTGGAGGGGGGTTGCTCTGCGGTGAAGGCGGGTGGGAGGATTTTAGAGTGAGAGTGGGTCAGGGAAGGCCGTGAGTGGGCGAGGCGAGCTTCGAGGTCTCCGAGAAGTATCTTTTGGCCACCGCTCACGGCAGACGCAGCCAGTGAAGTTCGGAGTTTGGTGGGTCGACCTCGAGAATGCTTGTCAAGAGGCTTGAAGTGGCTGGGGCAGGAAAACAGAAAAGTGACTAACCGGGTACTTCTGACGAGGAGCACACTAGCCAAGACGTAGACTCTTCTAAGTGGACGAAAGACTTGTCCTGAATCGCTGTTAATGGTGTAGACGTCAGAATCTCGAGGACCCTGTTCTTGCTATGAAACTTACACAGTACCTAGGTATTTAGTGAAATGGCGGGCACTAGTTGATTCTGATCTGTATCTTTTCAAAGCCTAAAAATTGCGTGGGCTAGCACGGCCAGGAGAGGGAGGCAATTGCAGAAGGGCAAAGAATTCGGGTGGAAGCACGCTTTGAGTACCTTGAGGCAAGGGGGCAACACTTAGAAACCGTGGAACCTTTGGTACTTTACCAGTACCTCTATACTAAACCAGCGGGATTCGATTCTGGGGCGGGCTAACAGCCCAGATGGGCTGGGGCAAGGTGGGTTGATAGGGGACCTAGGGACTTCAACCACAGGTGATGACGATTGTCGTCCAGTAATAGGTATATTTTGGTGCAAGTTTTACTTTGATTGTGAGGTATGAGAAGGTAACAGCCTAGGACACCGAGGTTGACAAAGACCAAACAAGGCATGGCCAACGCAACTACACATCTAAGTACGAAGAGAAAGCAATACATAAACAATTGACTGGTGGCCACTACTAAGGTAGGCAAGTACTACTATTGACTTCAGGTACTGGTGACACTGTCGAAGGTCCTGCACTCTGCCGGGTCTGGCGTCAAAACCAGGATCTAACTTATCACCAGATACTTGAGACTCAGCATGTCTCGGTAAATGTTTTTAGGGGATAATTCAAACAATTATGGACACAGCAAATGCGTCAGTTTCTTCAAACAATCTTGTCCTAGACCACTGAAAAGAATGTGTAACATAGGAACATACAGGGGTATGCAAGGACCCTGAGCTTGTCCAGTCAGCCCTGGTTTGGTTTGGCTGCGTTGTAACAGCTAATGGATCCCATATAAATAAAGTAAGTTGGATCGCGGAAACCTAGAAATCTCCGATAAGCGGGACATGAACGATCTGACAACTAGGAACAATACGACTGAGAGACATTTGACGTGCTAGGCAAGCATCTCACCAACCTCAAACATCGACGGCCTGACGAGTATGATTTTACTGTTCCTCTTTTACGTGCGTGGCCGCATCCAGCTTGTCTAGAGCCTGTAAGCAACAGCGGGAAACACATCCAACGAAAACTAGATAATCGATGGTGAAGTATGAGGATATTAGGATAAAAGACCTAAACTGAGTCCAAAGAATTATGCGTTTATTTGATTATATATCTAGGTACCTAGTATATTCTTTGATTTTCTTAAACCTACTAACCCGAGGACTGCCTAAATACCTGACTAAGATCCCTCATGGCAAATGCCTAACTGTAAATCAATTTGGATGAGACCACCCTTTCGGATCTCCCAGGCACCCACACTTCAGTAGTCCAGATTTCATGACGGAGATTCTGGAAATCTCGAAAGAATCTGCTGATCATTGTAACCATCCAATGACCGATTGCATGATGAAAAACTCATATGACTGACGCAGATGTAGCCCTCCATCCACGTGGTCAGTAATGCTGCCCCCTACAACGATTCCCCATCAGCCTCGCATGCCATCTGGAGTCTGGGACCTGAGTTGGTGCGTAAGAGAGTAAAACAGCAACCTTACTGGCAGGACAGGGGTGCCTTTTTGAATGTTCCTTGGCCAACTTCATCGAGGCTCCACGATCGTGTTGTTCATACTTGTTTAAAGGACTAAATCTGGATACCGGGCACAAGACATTGGGCGCACTGGACGGGACTAGCTCGTGCTGCTTAGCCACGCTTAATGACCAAGATCTAGTATTAAGCTATGTCCAAAACACAAACTATTGGTTGAACGACACTGTTGTATGACTTCCGCGGAACATAATCAGATACTGTTTTCACGCATAGATATCAGTGTCAGACGTAGTTGTCTAGTTCATACTTTTGTGCCTCTTTATTCCGACGTCAAACTCTAAGATGTTATGAAGCCATGATGAACATCATACGCTCCTACAGAGTCAGCCGCGATGCAAATCCTCGGCCAGAGGAAGCATATGGTCTAATATGAAAGCACGAGATGCTTATTTTCAAAGCATATACAGAGTTTACGACGAATTATAATGTGCAAGTCATCAACTTGATCATGATATCATAAAAACAACATTTGTAGCTACGGAAAGATCAAAGACAATCTAATCACACTCTGGCTATCGCTCAAATGTCGGAGGCAGTTATTACTACCAGGAAGATGCCTGAACCACCCAAGAGTTGCAGGATGACACGATTGATACATGGCATACATGCTGAGATAGGCGGCTCAGATAGACCGGGTCCTGCTATAACGAAATGGCTCTCGATTCACGTTGACCCGACTATTGAGCAGATCGTCCGGAAGATGGTCTGGGAAACCTTCATGATGCAAGCATTAGCTTCTAATACCCATCTAGTAGTACAAAGTCATGTTTCCTTCTGTCTGTCGCTGGTCTCAAGCACTTTTGACAACCTTGTCATCATCAAACTCTATGTCAACAATCCCGTCGGCCTTGACCGCCTTCACCACCATACCCTTGAAGTCAATCGGTAATCGGCGCTTCAGCTCGTCGGTGCACATTGTCAGAATCTTGATGCCCTGATGCAGCGTGATATCGGGGTGATGATGCTTGTCGAGGATAGACAGGCAGTAGTATCTGTGATGTTGTTAATCAGCACCAGTCCAGGATCATTCATATAATTTGTCTCAAGGACATAATTTTCGCGAGAACGTACTGTGCGTATCCATGCGCAGCATAAGGAACATCTGCTAGCGACGCTAGATAGTCGAGCCAGTAGAGCGAGGGCTTGCCAGTGATGGGGTCAACACCACCCATGAGAAGGTTGACGTTGTAGGGCTTTCGAGATCGCAGACTAGTAGCTAGCTCTCCACGAACAAAGTGAGCAAGGCCAGAGGGAGAAAGATCGGACTCGTTTCGCATCGAGTAGAGCTGGGCATTTCGTTGAATGTATTCGGCGAATTGCACTGCGGAGTGAGCGTTAGCTGTCGTCATCGCGGAGCCTGTCGACGTGAAGCCAAGTCAAGTACCTGTGTCGCCGGCCTCTCCAGAGAATGCGAGGAGGGTATGCTTGTTGAGAGCTCTGGTCTTGTCATCGGATGCCTTGAGGATGGTGGCGCCCCGCATCGCAGCCTTGGATGCTGCAATGATAGTGAAGTCCTTTCCAGTGATTCCCAAAAGCACCTCCCTGTTTATCAATGTTAGGAAAGCCCGAAGCAATAGATGCAGCTTATGGATAGCCTACATGTTTAAGATAGTTTGTTTCGTAGTGGGGGAAGAGTCGATATGTTGTTGTGGAGGAATTAATCCAGGTAGTTCAGCCTTCTTCAAGGTCCAGTAGTAGCAACCAAGCAAGCAAGCTCTCCCATTAGGCTGTAGCGCTGCGCGTCGACACTTGCCTGGGAAGCTTCCCACACCAGGTTTGTTTGTGCCTCTCTCTACCGCCTGAAACGGAAAAACTCGACCCACCTGTCAAACTATGACTGGTCAGCTGAATGCTGGAGTATCAGATAGATTTTCCGCGATCCACTGCCGCTCAACTTTTTTTTTTCTGAGTCTAGAAATTTATCTTCAAGGCGGGTTCAAAGTCGTGAACAGAGAGCCAAGTTCACGGCGTCGCCACAATGTCGTCCTTTTTCACTGTTCCAGGTGCGCAGAAGAAGCGCAAGCGTACTGAGACGGTAGAGCAGCCAAAGAAAAGAGTTGCGGCTTCAAAATCTGCTGGAAAGACACATTCGAAGAATGCCGGCCCCACCAAAAAGCGAGACGACGAGTCTATCTCTGGGAGCGATTCAGACGATGACGAGAGCTACGACAGCGCCTCAGTCGCGAGCGACGTGGAAATGGAAGACAACGAGTCGGATGACGAGGAGGGTGAGACTGCCGCCGAGCGAAGATTGCGGCTAGCAGAGCGATACCTCGAGAATGTCAAGGAGCATGTGGACGAAGCCGGTTTTGATGCTGCCGATATTGACCGAGATCTGATCGCCGAGCGACTGCAGGAGGATGTAGCAGAGGGGAAGGGTCGAGTATATCGCCAATTGGCCTCAGAATTGGACTTTGACAACGCGTCGCGCACATTCTTCCGAAGCAACACCAATACCGTCACCGCTATCGCTATATGCGCCCCCTACATCTACACCACGACGAAGGATCTATATCTACAAAAATGGAAGACCCAAGATCTCCCACAACACCAGTACCCACAGACAACCAAGCGGAAGCCAAAGAAGCCCCCGGCGCCTCCGAGGAAGCGGCCTGAACTGGAGGCGTGGTTAAAGGGAAACACGACAAAGTCAAAAGACAAAAACTACCAACGCCATACTGACCGTATTCTTGCCGTTGCAGCCTCTCCCGACGGTAAATATGTAGCTACTGGTGGCGCAGATCGGAAGCTTATTATCTACGACGCCCATGCCCTCAAGCCCATCAAGGTTTTCACACATCACAGAGACGCCGTTACCGGACTCGTCTTCCGAAGAGGAACGAACCAGCTTTATTCATGCTCCAAGGATCGCACGGTCAAGGTCTGGAGCTTAGACGAAATGGCCTACGTTGAAACGCTGTTTGGTCACCAGGACGAAATTCTCGATGTCGATGCCCTCGCGCAAGAGCGATGTGTTAGCGTTGGTGCACGAGACCGTACTGCGCGTCTCTGGAAGGTCGCTGAGGAGACGCAACTTGTCTTCCGCGGTGGTGCTGTAGACAAGAAGTCGCGTCCCACGGGTGTTCACCCTCGATCTCTCCTCCACGAAGGTAGCATGGACCGTGTCGCCATGATCGACGATGATCTCTTCGTCACAGGGAGCGACAACGGTGCCCTTTCTCTATGGAGCGTGCAGAAGAAGAAGCCTGTGTACATCGAGCCCATTGCACACGGTATCGACCCGCCCTTAGAGCCCGAGGAGGCATCGGCCGAGGTGAACCCAGACCCCAAGATTGTGCCACCTCCTACACCCCGCTGGATCACCGCTATCCGAACCATTCCCTACTCTGATGTTATTCTCACTGGCAGTTGGGATGGTCATATTCGAGTCTGGCAACTTAGTGAGGACAAGCGCAAGATCGAGTTCCGTGGTGTCCTCGCCAAGCCTGAAGACCGAGAGAAGGAGTCCTATGAGGAGAATGTTCATGGCCCTCTCCATGGTGTGGTAAACGATATCGACATATTTGAGCGTGGCGACAGAGGCAAAGATGGTCTTTGCGTGGTTGTGGCCATCGGTAACGAACATCGGCTCGGCAGATGGAACCCTCCCGCAAAGGCTGGACGCAATGGAGGTTTCATTTTCGAGATTCAACGGATACAGCGGCCAGCGGTTAACGACACAAACGAGAGCTCGAATGACGATGAGCAAGATGAATAAAAAAGCATAATAGATACTTGACAATCAACCACTCAATAGACGTGGCGGAGACTGCAACTCACACCACATGTTATATATCGTTAGCATATTGGGGAAGAATAGGTCTAGGGACCGATGATGCTTCAGGAGTCGGGTGTTAAATAGGAAAAAGCCTTTGTGATGGGTATAAACTTTAATCATCTTTCTACACGTCTAATGCCTCTCTTTCGTCGTGTCAACTCCTCCCCTTTCGATTTCATGCCCCAAGCAGCCGAAACCTAGGTACCTGTAGTGGTGACATGATATGACACTTGGGATTATCTTAATCATACATAGCTATAGGGACCAACCCCCCTTCAACGGCCTATTCTCGTAAGCAAACCCGTCGTGTCATCACCAACGAAGACAGACAATCTTATACTGTCAAGTCGATAGACTGATCAACTCCATCATATTGTGGTCCTCTTGGAGGTGGCATTTCGTCCTCTATGCTTTTCACAACAGTCTGCTCGAGCTGAATGACTCGCTGGCTGTCTTGAGATCTTGGCGAGGGACGTTGTCTTGTTACTAGAGATACCGGTGGCGAACTGGTTTTCTTGACAGTAGATGAAGTGGCTGTTGGGCACATGTCGTCGGGCGAGTCTGGTAATCTATGTACGAATTCAGGTGTTGAAGGCTGCTTGGGCGTCCGCTCGTCGCGCGACCCTTCTGTGGTCAAACCAGAAGGCACAGGTGGTGCGCTATTGATAGGCGATGATCGAGCCGAATGATAAACATCTCCTGAGCTAGAGGCCTTAGACTCATTGCCCGAGTCCTCTCTGAGAGGTTGGACGAGCGATGGTTCATCATTTCTTTTGGGCGTTTGAGGCTGGCCTGGCTTCTCTGCAGAAGCGACTGCAAAATATGAAGAAGTGGTCCCTGTTTGTCGAGCCGCCTCAGAAGGCGAGCCACTGGCGTCGTTTACTGACGGGCTTGTTGCATAACGACTAACTTGTGGTGTCTCCGGTTCTCTTCGAGGCACCTGTGGCGAAGAGGCAGCTATCTGTGGTGAAGAAACGGGACCCTTTGTTGCCCTCCGTTGCCTCTTCATCTCCTTTTCCTTTTCCAGACGCTCATTCTGTTTCTCTTGACACTCGAAGAGAAGATCCCTCACCTTGGCACGGATCTCAGGGGCGTTGATTTCCCATTCAGTGTCTTCTTTGTGAAGCAGTCTTCGAACAGCCTCGTCTGGATCCTTCAGGAAATTTTCCATGTACCCCAGGACATAAACACCACAGTCGCAGAAATTGTCCTGCATCGGAATGCCCCGGGCAGTCATGCCACCGGGTACACCAGCGATCTCGAAGCCCTTCTTGTGCTTTGCTTCCTCAACGAGATAGTCTTTCAAACACCTGCAGGTTGGTGGATGCGATGAGCCTAGCGAGTCGAGCGTAATAATTTTTGGATCGTCAGTGCTGAACTTCTGATTTCCTCCAGTTGATTTTCGTTTGCTCGTTTTGCCAGGAGTTACTATGTTCGCCGTATGCTTGTCACCAACTAGAGAAGAGTTACTGTCATTAATTGCCCGGCTTCTGGTTGAGCGGGTAACTGCGACATCTATAGACACAATGGAAGAATTTCTTCCAGCAGGAGGATTTTCCACAAGATCCATTACCGGGTCATTATCCTCAACAATTATTGCATCTTGTGGACTTGAAGACTGCTTTTTGTTTTTTGTCTCCGCTTTCACCTCTTGTAGAAGACGAGGTGCATTATAGATGATGGCCAGATACCAGTGCGCGTTTTCGTTGACCGGAACAACAATGAACTCGTATGACAGCAGTTCGACTCGGGCAGTCCAGGCTTTGACGCCATCATAATTGATCTTGCCGCGATTCGATCTTAGCTTCTCGAAAAAAAATGTACTAAAGATGTACACCTTCTTTAGGACCTCTGGCTGCTCTTTCTCAAGCTGGTCTTGTAGGTAGCGAAGATAAAAGCTGATGATGTTGTCGTTAAGAAATTCGCCTTCATCCAGCCGTTGAATATCATCTTTATCAACTGTTGCCCGATTTTTTCCTGTTGGAGGCCACACCAAAGATCTGTGCCATTTCTTCTCCCAACCAGGATTGCAAGCCGTCCATGGTTTCGGGGTTCTTTCATGTCGAGTTTGTGGAGATTGCCTTCTTGTTAAGTGCCGAGTCTCGAGCCCTTGGTTGCGAGTGAGCCCTGTATACAAATCATCGGTGTCTAGTGGTTCTATTTGCACGTCCTCTTTTGGCTGAGACATGCTCTGCATCCCGTCCTTGAGCTTGCTTTGTTTCGAGGCAGGAAGGCCAGGCGAGACAGGATCCCCTAAGAAAGGATCTCTGTGGTGTTGAGGTCTGGCAGCGTTGGCTCTATAACTATCATCCAGTAAGAATATATCGGATGCCTCCACCGGGCTTGCCCTGCAACCATCGGCCTCTTTCTTTACGCGACGGAATATTGCATCCAGCTTGTCTCTGAGAATTATTAGTTTATGAGGAAGTCATGAAGTTTCGACAAGCACTTACACGTCGCATTGAACGAGGCCTGGCAAACCGTGCAACCAGCAAATAAAGAATGAGGCATCTGTATCGCTGACAAATTTGAGTATAAGGGTACCGCAGGAGATAGATACTCTCGACGAGCGGTTAATGACAACAATAGGGCTATTAGTGTTATTGTGTCTTACACGTTTGACTGACGACCGCAAAACTTGGAGCCAGGAGAGGCTCCCGCTATTCTGATGTATGGGCTCGGCAGCACTTGGACCAAGTTGAAGTGTAACTGGCTCAATATCGTCTGCTGGAGAAAATGAGTATCTTCCACAGATCGCAGCCTCCAAGGAAACGTTCTTCAATGCTGGCCCCTTGGAAAGCAAGGTTTCGCGCCCCGGAATAGTTTTTGTCGGTTTGAATGCGGTAGACTGTATGTCACCCCGTTGGAGTCGCGGTTGAGAAAGTAGCTTCGGGAAACTAGGCTTCTTGACAGTCTCTCGGCTTGCGGGAGCTCCAGGCGCAAGCTCATCATCAGACTGTGGGAAGACCTTGAATCGCTTTGGCGCACTCTGGGTGTATTCTGTTGCTGGTCGCTTTGGCTGAGAGATGACATCAGACGTAATGTTGGCCGGTGGCGGACCGTCCTCATTCTCTGTAGCTAAGTGGTCTGGACTCACAGGGGGATGTGAAGGTTGAGGAGCAAGGTTTCGGTGCGCAACAGCAGTCGTATCGTCAATCTCGATAGGCGAAGAGGATGCTTTGGATTCGTGTCTCCGTCGTCGCCGGGTACGTTTTACGCTGTTCTGACGGTGAACATTCCGGTACTCTTGCTGGTTGCTCGTAGCTCCTGCATTCCTACCGAGACTGATAATGCTTGAGCTATCGATAGTTTCGACCATAGAGTCTTCTCGGGTCAAGCCGTCATACTTGTGTCGCGAGGTTTGCGGTTCTTCGTCTTCGATTGCTTCTAGTGGTTGATGAAAAGGGCCCGTAGGGAAGTAGCGGGCCACATTCGCATTGGATAATCCAGGTACGGATTGCTTGACTCGCTTGTTTGGTCGATCATCTCGAGGTTCAATATAGTAACTTCTCGATTCAGTAGGTTGCCCACCACCCATCGAGCTTCGCGGTTTCTGGTCATTGATCGCTCTCTGCACTAGATATCAGTAACTGTCCTAGTTTTTGCAAGCGCAGTAATAGACTGACAATCCGTGATTTCATCTTCGCTTCGTCACCCGGAGCTCTCCAGAACATGTCAGCAGGGAAATTTCGCAAGAGTGGACAAAGAGCCTACCCATAGTCTGGGAAAGAGTTGGCGTTGGAGTAATAGCGTGCGAGAGGGCTAAAGCGAATTAGAGCGAAGCTCAGCGCAAGACACAGCGATATGGAAAGGAAGGAAGCAGAGCAATGCGCACTCCCATCGAGCCTTTTTCCTCCACTGGTCACCTATTGACGAAGGCTGTGCGTGGGCCTCCAGCTTTTCACCCTGGCAGTTCACGATGCGTCAGGCTATGAGGCGGACATCAACAGCTGCTAGAAGTTCGTGCAGCAGATAGTCGGGGTTCCCTGAGTTACAGGCCGGATCGTCAAGTATTTGGAGGAGCACAAATTTTCATGAGTAAAGAACCGGGAGTTCTTGGATCGTGTAATTGTCTTCGCGGGACGTTGATGATTGGGGCCGTTGTTCAGTGCAAGTTTGAATGGACGGTTCTAGCGAGACCATTAAACGCTGGCTTCTAGTGGGGTTTCGCTCTAATTTAGTGCGACTTCGGCAGAAACTTGGTGCCCAGATATGGGTAGTGAGGTGGTGACTGCCTAGGTAAGGTAGCAGCAGGTGGGTCAGATAAAAATCGGGAAACTCAAGCAGAGGAATACAGGTAAAAGTGTCCCGGTTTTTATCTGAAGCGCCTGGGTAGGTACCTACCTACGTTAGGTAAGGTAGGAATACTGAGTTGTCAAAATGTCAGCCTCACAGGGTCCAATCTGATGGGTTGACGAGGCCCAACAGGTTGTATTCGTTTGGGTACCTATGTTATTAAAGATGTGACACTGAAAGTAGTGTGTGAATGTCGAAATATCTTCAATGAGTCCAGCCCAGTTGAACAGTGGAGTTCATAGAACACACAGCGACCCAATCACAAGGCTGAAACTACACGGCTCCAGCACTCACCTAGACTGCAGGTCCCGTCCGTCCCAAAACGTGGCCAGTAGCTCCAACAACTTCAACACCAAGACGCGACATCGTCAACGTCCCTCCTTCAAGCTCCCCTTTTCTATTTGTACAACACTTTGAGAGCAAAAGCTGCGACTGCAGCTAAACAACAGCTCACCATGTACAATTCTCTTACTCGTATTCAGAACACCTTTGGTTTCTTTACCACTGTCGCATTTGTGGTCGCGGCTTTCATCGCTGCGTCCGACCTCTTAGCTCCACGGGCGCCCGATGCTGGCATATTCCAGAAGACAAACGCTCAAGTGTATGTCTTCTTACTTCTAGAATTGAATATTATTTACTAACTATTTTGCGTCTTGCAGTGTGAAGGGCCGACCGCACTACTACAGCTCTAAGAAGGAGGAATACGCCATCATTCGATTCAACCTGGATGCTGACTTGAGGAGTCTCTTTACATGGAATACCAAGCAGGTTTTTGTCTATGTCACTGCCGAGTGGCCTGGCCCCAACAACTCTAGCAACGAGGCCGTCATCTGGGATAAAATCATCACAAACCCCAGCGCCGATCATCTCCAGAACATTGGACCCGTTGCGATGAAGAAGCTCAAGCGCAGCGCTGAGGGCAAGTCCATTGACCCTGAACGGTAAGTCTCTGTATACTTACAAGTATCTGTTCATAACCTAAAGCTATTATAGTGGCTTTATCGGTCTCAAGAATCAGAAGCCGAAGTATCAGATCACCCACCCCAGTGGCAAGGTCGCCGAGACAGATGATGTGAAGCTCAAGCTCCATTACAATGTTCAGCCGTGGGTTGGTTTTTTAACTTGGGATCAGTCTCGGGATATAGGCCACTGGAAGGCTTTGAAATGGGGAGAGTCGCCCAAGTTCCAACTTCCTGCTCTCAAGACTAAGAAGAAGGATACTACCAAAAAGAGCTACTAATGTTAGACAAATACAGTTGTGTTCTCGAAAAATGCATTCATAGTGTAATGTGACGTCCAGTGTCCTGGGTAATACAACCATTGTATCTCTCCACAGGCCTTTTCTCTCTGACAATATCTGTTCGCACTCATGACTCCGTGATACAGGTATCTAGCTTTTATCTATCATACATTTTCACATCCACAACTTTTATCCCAACGCTGGCTATGTTACAAACAATCCAAGCATTTAAACATCATGTTGTAAGACATGGTATCACGAACAATCCATCCGTCATCGCCAGTATGGATATGGATCAAAGCTGTTAGGCATCTAGCCTTGGGTTCCATCACCAGCAGCTCCTCCTCCACTGCCTCGTCCGCGGCTGGCCCCGCCTCGCCCTCTTCCACCGCGTCCACGTCCACGGCCCCTGCCTCGAGGTGAATCAAGGCTGGCTGGTGGCGGAACATTGCCATATCTCTGTTCCTGTGGAGCCTCTACCCCGTGGTGCCCATCAGGACCCGGAGAACCATGATGGTTACCGCGACCGCGACCACGGCCTCCTCTACCTCGAGTTCCGTGTCCATTAGCATCCTGGCCATGAGGCATGCCGTCGGGGGGGCCATTCCGGTATACGAAGGTGCTGTGCATGAGATTAGGGGCACCTCCACGAGCGCCATTGCCTCGACCTCGTCCAGAAGAGTTGGAGCCATTCAAGGCTCCGCGCCACCCACCGCGAAGCGGGCCAGGTGCTGGAGCATCCTTATACTGAGTGACGCCAACATTCGCATATCCACCTTGGGCAGCGATGACTGGTCGTCGCTGTTGTGACTTGCTTGTGGTTGAGATTACTTGTTTGTTCGTAGTATTCAGGACTGAAGAAGATGCCACAGTCTGTCCGCGGAACATAGGAGCTCTTTCGTTAAGCGTGGTGCCACTCATGAACGATGTATCCCAGACAACATCTAAAAGCAGGGCGGTAGCTGTGCGGCTGATACCAGCAACAGTTCCACGAGTCGCGATAGGAACTTTTCCAGCGGCAGAGACGTAAGTGACTCGGTCTCCCAGGGCAAAGTTCTGGCTGCTAAGCACCATCTCAGCATCTGACGGCTTGAGAAGCGCTGAACGAGGAACGCCACGCAGTTTCTTGATATCAATATCTTGAGAAGCAGCATGAATTTGTTCGCCGACATTAGCCAAGGCCTTGACAACCTCGGAGTCGAGTTGCTCAGCTTCTAAAGGAACACGCTCAAACTTGCTGGTCTCCTGCTTCTTGAGCCAGGCCACAATCTCCTTGACTCTCTGCGAAGCAACACTGGGGTCATTCCAAAGATCTGTTTCGAGAACCTCGCTCTTCTGAGGTTCTCTCTGGATGGCCGCAAAAAAATCGGGGAAGGCAACCATGTAGTCAGCGATCAACTTGATTGCCATGCCACTGAATTCCCAGCCCGTATGAGACTTCCTTGAGTACCCCAAAACCTTGAGCTTTCGTCCTTCAAATTTCAAATTCAATCCCAAATTCAGTCGAAGTCCAGCAGAATTGATGATTTGATAGGAAGATGTAATCTTGCTTAGGACAAGAGGATGAATTCCCAACTGCTTGGCAACAGCAAAAGAAGGGGTGTAGGGATTGGAGCGTTCTGCTTGATGGATGATTTGCTTCGCAAAGTCCGGTTCCTTGTTCTTCAGCATCGAAACAACGATCTCAGCCTTGTTGTTGGCGTGGGCAGCGACTTCAAGGGGACGGCCGTAAGCGTACTCGCCCAGGAAGAACGCACGAGTACCACGAGGGAATTCTTCCTCGATTGGCAACGCCTCTTTTTCAATGAAGCGCTCGTCTTCGTTAACGACTTCGTCAACAATGGTTTGCGCAGCATAGGTGCTTCTCAGGCTAGGATTTTCAGCATACTCTTTAATCAGGGCACCCTCCTCCGTACGGATGAGACCCTTCAGCATATGGACATATACCAAACACTCAACCTGTCCGATGGTGATTGCCAAGCGCTTGGCATGCCAGTTCTCCAGGTAATCCGCTTCCTTGGCCCAGTCGGCAGCCTCCCTGTTATTGTGGTCCTTTGTCACAATGTCTTTGCCGTTCTCGGCCATTTCGTAGCTGAAAAGTTCGTCTTGCACCTTGATCACTTTGGCTTCCTGAAGGAATGGGTATCCAACGAAGCATCGCTGGCCGATTTTGGCCTTCCAAGTTTCTATCTTGGTACGATTCTCCGTTTCAGTCAGTGTGACACAGATGCTTGGGTTTCTGCTGTCCGCCTGGAATACATTAACACCGTAACCTTCAACGAGTTGGGCGGTATACGGAAGGGTATGCAGCGAAGGGAAGCCGGCCAGTGCATCGACGCTCAGCAAAGCACCGTTAGTCAAGCCTGACAAGTATTCAAGTCCCTCCATGTCCGGAAGGTCGAAGATATTCTCAATACAGCGACAGTTCTGGATCTCAGGGAAAACACCAGGTAGTGGTGAAGGATACACAAAATCAACTTCGGGGGAATACGTGAACTTCAGAGGAACACCAAACCCGTTACGAGCCTTCTCGTCGGGTTCCAGCAACTCATTTTTGGGGGCCATGGCCGCCAATAAGCGCTTCTCGTCGATGAAGGGAATCTTGATGACTGCTTCCCAGTCCATTTTCTTCCCATTCATGTCCAGCTCGAAGTCTCGGGGATAGAAGTCGATGATTGGAGAATCAGGATTCGTCATAAGGTCGTGGTAAACCTTAGGGACAATCTTCTTACTCCGGTCCGGCAACACACCCATGAGCTGTTCGTATGGCAAGAAAGGTTGGCCTTTTTTGAAGTCGAGGTCCGCACCAACACCCTTGACGACATCTACGTTTTGTCAGCTATAGGAACTCATGTACCGCCATATCGCCATATTACATACCTGAAATAAGTGGTGCATAATGGTACCCGTAGAACCAAGGCCATGATGCAATTCCTTGATAGTAGTAGTACAAGACCCACTGAAGACCCTGGACGTAGTTCTCGCAAAGCGCTGTAAGCTCCTTGTCGTAATTGTCAGGTGCCCACTCTTCAAACTTCTGGAGATAGTACTTTGTCTTCCAGCCCTGGTACTTGTCTTGGTAGAGCTTCTCGTAATGCTTCTGAGCATCTTCGGGGGTCAAGTCGATCACCAAAGCCTTGTCGTACGTCTTCATTACCCGATAAGCAGCTAGATTGCCCTCCTCCTCCTCCTCGTCATCATCTTCTTCTTCATCGGCATCGTCCTTGACCTTTGGGGGGAAAGATACGATCAGATGACGATGCCCCTCATCGTCCTCCTTAGTGGACCACTGGAGATGCATGGAATCAGCCAAATCCTGAACAAACTTACGATCGGCAGCCTTGAGACTTGTGCCGAGGTCCAAAGGTTGTTCGGAGCGTTTCGAAATGTAGGGTCGGATCTTTTGCTTCCATAAATCGCGCTGCGCTGAGGTGATCACTAGCTGACCTCCTTTGGGCGCTTTGGTTTCCGCGTTTCTGTTTTCGAGTTTCTTTTCCATCTGTTTCGACGCAAACCATTTTTCATCGGATACGTCGTTCTCGAATGCATCGATTTCGGTCTTGGAAAGTTCGCCGAGGAGGCGCTGTAGTCGCTCCATATTGATAACTCCATTCTCGTTGATGTATCCGTCGCACTTTGGCAGTATGGATTTGTAGATTCTGAACATTTTCGCCAATGCACCTTCATTAATGTGCAAACTGGGTAAGTTGGGCAAGAAATCGTTTCCCACAAAGAACGCCATCAAAATAAAATCATCAATGACTCTTTCCAGATCAAAGGGAAAGCTCAGGGTCCCGTCTTCTTGAAGCTCCTGAAATTCCATCTCCAGATATTCTCTCACTATGCAAAGATGAAGCAGGTAGAAGTTCTGGTGCTCAAGTTCTTTGGACTTGGTCTTGGAAGCCCGTCCAAATGTAACCTCTTCTCGGAGAAGACAGAAATGAGGATCATGGCTGAGTAGACCAAGCATGATCAGATCAGCATCAAGGCCATAAAGACAGTGCCTGACGTTTTGGTTGTAGTTTGGCTGGGCTTTAGCATTTCGAATGTATTCCATGATCTTGTGCTCTCCCTCGCCAGGGACTTCGTGGCCAGATAGCACAATTTCACAACCCTGCCAGTCTGTGTCCTCAGACACCTTCTTGTTGACGAAATACCTCAATTGCTGGGATAGTTTGGCCATGAACTCCGTGCCTGCAATTTATCAGATTCTGTCATTGATTGTCGTGGTAAATTTAACATACCAGGAGTGATGCAGTTGCTGTCGAAAGGTTCCTCTTTAGGAATTTCAACACCTTCCTTTATGGCCTTTTCACGGGCCTTCTCAGCATCGAGGGCAGTCCTAAAACGTCGAGAGCGTTGCTGGTTCATCTTGGCTCGTGGCGCAACACCATCAATGGCCATGAAGAAGAGCTGTTTGGGCTTAATCTTTCCAAACAAATGTTCAATGTAGTTGAATATGCGAATGAACATTTCCTCCTCGCTAAGACGGAAGGATACATCCTCGCCCGCATCCTTGTGGGTACAGTTATGAATGATACCATTCATATCGAGCTAGGCGACGGTCAGCATGCGTAAAGGGATAACAGGAGGGATCGGACGACGAACGTAAAGGCAGTCGAATTCTGGTATTCGGTTCTCTGCGATGAGTTGAGAAATGGCAGGATATCGCTCGGAAAGCCATCTGAAGAACTTGGGGACACTGCGACGAAAAGAATCAGCTCTTGGAGGTAGGGATGAAGAGCAGCGAGAGATACGCACCCCATCTTGACGGGCTGTGGACAGTTTCCAGTCCACACAAAATGTCGAATGTAGTGAAAGTGATGTTGTATTTGGAACACACCCCTGGGAAACTGGGCGGAAAACGTGGAAAATCCTGTGGCAACAGGATCGCGAGACAAGACAGTAATTCAACGTGGCGCCAAACAATCTGTGGACGGATGATGCTACAGCTGAGCGATGAGATCTCAGCAAGTGATGCTATACAATACTCCTTAAGATGGGCAGTATTGTAGGAGACCGTCGCGTTCTGTGAGAGTTTATGAGGTAGAAGGTGAAGGTTAAGCCGAATCGTGTTATCCCGAAGTCGAACAGTCATGGAGGGAACCCAGGACCTACGGCGAGATGGTGGGGCTCTGAACCTGTGATGGAGGGGCCCAGCGATCTACATCTACAGTACCTCCTGTCTCTGCTGTTCTGGGTGTCAAATGGAGTACTGCACATGTGCCTCAATTGCTCTGCTCCCCGCTGTGAGTCAATTGCCCGTGGCAGATTGTGGGGTACTCAAGCCACAGGATCTTCCACTCGCTGTGGCTCACCGTTGCTAGGTGCTGTCTATCACTTTACGCGCGACGCGACCTCACTTTTCAGCCTTCCTGGTCAACTACACTCATCATCCTCAGCCGTGCACACAATTTCTTACCACCAACAATTTGCTTGGTACTTTCCCTTTACCTTTATCTTACGCATTTCCTTCACTTTCTGAACAACCTCAAAATACTCAACTCAGCAAATAAGAAAAGTTACCATGGCACCTGCTCAATCTGCGGAGCGCGATGTGGACAGTGAGTTTGCGCCTCGCAAGCAATTAAACTTGCCCGTAATCCCAAACCAGCAGAGAAAGAGGCACTGACAATAATGTAGTCGAAATGACTCACGAAGAAGATGATGATCAGGGCGAGCGCATGATTAATGAAGGTATGGAGAAATCAAAGACATAAATATGGACTCATCGTACTAACACTAAACAGAGTACAAGACGTGGAAGAAAAACAGCCCGTTCTTGTATGATATGATTCTAGGGCAAGTCATATGTCTTTGGTCACTACCTCGAGCTCTTGATCTAACATTCATTTTCCAGAACGGCTCTGACTTGGCCTACTCTTACAGTTCAATGGTTCCCAGACGTCAAGGAGCCCGAGGGCAAGAATTACTCAGTTCACCGCCTCCTGCTTGGCACTCACACTTCAGACGAGAGCCCCAACTTTCTCCAGATTGCCGATGTTCAGATTCCAAAGGCTGTGGCGCCCAATCCCAAGGACTATGATGAGGAGCGAGGTGAGATTGGTGGCTACGGCAAGCCTGGTGATGTCGCTGCTATCAAGTGCGAGATTGTTCAGAAGATCGAGCATCCCGGAGAAGTCAACAAGGCTCGATATCAACCTCAGAACCCCGACATCATCGCCACTCTTTGTGTGGATGGCAAGATCCTCATATTCGACCGAACGAAGCACCCTCTCCAACCTACTTCCCTTGGAAAGGTCAATGCTCAGATCGAGCTTGTTGGACACAAGGCTGAGGGTTTCGGTCTGAATTGGAACCCTCATGAGGAGGGATGTTTAGCGTCTGGTAGCGAGGATACCACAATGTGTCTTTGGTAAGTATTTGTCACAGACACTCAGAATGCTCCGCTAACATACTGTGCTTAGGGACTTGAAGACCCTTAAGGGTGATTCGAGAATCCTCAACCCTTCTCGCAAGTACACTCATCACACCCAGATCGTCAACGACGTTCAGTATCATCCCATCTCAAAGAATTTCATCGGTTCCGTGTCCGACGATCAGACTCTCCAAATTGTTGATGTACGGCACAGTGAGACCGCCAAGGCAGCAGTTGTTGCTAAGCGCGGCCACCTTGATGCGATCAATGCTCTGGCGTTCAACCCCAACTCGGAAGTGCTCGTGGCCACCGCCTCAGCCGACAAGACGATCGGCATCTGGGACCTCAGAAATGTCAAGGAGAAGGTCCACACTTTGGAAGGTCATAACGATGCTGTCACATCTCTAGCCTGGCATCCTACTGAGGCCGGTATCCTGGGAAGTGCCAGCTATGATCGAAGAATTATCTTTTGGGATCTTTCACGAGTTGGCGAGGAGGTATTGCCCGACGACCAGGATGATGGCCCCCCTGAATTGTACGTCTGGAAGCTGCCAAAGGTTGATCTCAATAAAAAGCTAATACATCTAGGCTCTTCATGCACGGCGGTCATACGAACCATCTGGCTGACTTCAGCTGGAACCCTAACGAGCCTTGGCTTGTAGCAAGTGCTGCGGAAGACAATCTGCTGCAGATCTGGAAAGTAGCCGAGTCCATTGTCGGGAAGGACGACGGCGACTTGCCTGTCGATGAGCTCGACCGATAGGTGAGGTGGAAGTTCGTGGAGAAGTTCCGGTCTTCATAGGATGAGGAGACGCAGCAGCTCTGGAGGCGGTGGCTTCAAGAGACAGATGCCAGCAGCGATGAGGGGCAACATATTTATCCTAATACCAGACATACAAGTACTTGAGGGGCTTGAGGCCTAAAAGGAGATGACAAATTATTCACGTGTCTCCCTGGATTAATAAAATGTGGTTTGTTCTTCAGTACTCCGGCTCTTTGCAGCGTCGCGAATTTCTCGCGAGTGCGTGACACTGTGGGCACCTGGCAGCACCTGGCGGTCCATCTCTTGTCTTCAGTTGACCTGGTGACTCTTCTCCCTTCGGCAACTTAGGTACCCTAACTAGTTAATTAAGGTATTGTTTATTCCCTATTGTTCGAGTCGGTCGTTAGTGGCTGCCTGGCTATTCTCTCATGGCATGCCCACGAAGCACGACCATCTTTGCCCTACAATTTTCCACTTCAATCTTCTCTACAATCACACTGCCGCGAATCTCTCTACACCGTTTACCACCTCTTCGCTTCGCCTGTTCTTTCTTTGCAATCCTTATGGCTTCTAACCCACCTCATTCAGATGGAGGACCATCTGCACCAAACAACGTCCCTCCTAATGCCCTCAACATGCAGCCAACCACAAGCAACACGGCCCAGCCTGGTGTCAACACTCAAATGACTCCTCAGAGCCAGGCTGAAGCCCAAGACCAGTCTCCAGATGAGCTCCTCACTCATCCAGAGCGGCATTTTGATCTCCTAACAGATGGCATGCGACGTCGCCTCGAGGAAGCAGTTGCTCGCGAATCTCGCACAAACGAAGAACTAGCCGCAATGGGCGTCGACCCTAAAGACTATGATGAACATGAAGACGAATATATGGATACAAACATCGATTTGGGCCCTGATATCGAAATCAAGGAGCCTGACAGCCAACAGAGCTTCACGAAGAGGGTCAAGTTCTCGAAAGCTTATGCTCATGGTCTCTTTGAAGGAGATAATCCCTACGAAATTGAGAATGAGGTTGATCATCTCACCCTAAGTCTCAAGCACACCAGTCTCGATCTCATCACTGCTCTCTGCTGCAACCTTGAGCTTGCCATTGAGATTGGTAAGCACCTCTCTCCCGGAGACATCGTGGGTCTGTATATCGCCAGTCCTGCATTTCGAAAAGCGATTACGGGACATATGCTCTCCTGCATCCGTATGTGGATTGACACTAATGCGCCCGAGGCTGGGAAAGTCTTCCACTGGAAGCTCTATGGCAAAACCCTCATCAAAGATCCAGCTGACCGCAATTCGGGTGCTCATGATGCTCGGTTCCTTGAAGGCCGCTGGGAAACCAAGAAGACAAACCCTAACCAGATTCGACTTATTCCTGGTTTTAAGTACCTTGAGTTGGTCATCGGCCGCGATCGATACTGTCGCGAGATCATCGCAATGATGGCTCGCATGGGCTTTCGGATGCCACATACAATGCACAGCACCCTTCTCCGACTCTGGGTTCTACTTGAAATCCCGACTACTCGCCAGAGACAATTATTTCTGAGAAGCAGAAAGTATTGGACCGACGTCCACCTCTATAATGCGCAGTTCTTTATGGTCAAGCTTTCCATGGCATTTACACACCCCTTTTTCAATCCCATTAGCATTGACATGGTTAAGCTCATGATGGGCCAGAAAGGTTTGTATCCACTATGGCAATGCCTCATGCGACAGAAGTACAGAACTATGTCAGAATGCATGGAGCTCAAGGCTCGCTACGACTTGCGCCTCCCACGATCTGTTTGGGCTCTAATTAAGAAAGAAAATTACCCCTCGGCTTATGGCGTTCCCGTCCACCAGGTTGGCCTTGGTCATCTGGAAGGCTGGGGAAAAGGGATTCGTCATCTTGGACGCCCTGATGAGATCTTACCGATCGAGGCGGTCTTCCGTGGACTCCATCTGGAAGACCACATCACTCAAATGATGATATGGGGCTACATCGACTTTGAGACGGGAGAGAACCTCGTCCCTACCGAAGAAGAGATGTATATCTCAGATGAAGAGGAGAAGCTCAACAAAGCCGACAACACTCACCATTGGCAGCGCAAGCACGCTCTCAAGAAACGCTGGAATGAACTCACCCCCGAACAGCAACAAGAGATTAAGGACGATGACTCGGATGAGCACCTCCGCGCTATGGCCTGGTCATCAGTTGACAACGAGGACCAAGACTGGGACAGGGAGTCCGACGACGCCGACGACGAGAGCGACGGCGAATACGACATCAACACCGAGATCAACCGTGGATACCGCATGCCCGCCACACCTAACGAAAGTTCATCAGCTGACGATACCATGAGCGACATATTAGCTGGTGGAGAGGCAATTCGTGTCGGTAATCAGGAAATTTCTGCTGACGAAGTCGCTGAGATGATGGGCGGGATGGACGTCCCTGTTCAGAGAGAGGAGATTGAGGCCTGGAACACCACGCTCAGCGAGCTCTTCGTCAACTCAAACCCCGAAGTGAATGATGCCGACTACGAAATGGCCAAGATTTGGGAGATCTGGTTTGCCAATGGAAGCTCTGGTCACCCCCCTTCCACCGTCGCACCCAGTACGATGGGTTTCCAGAACCAGGCTGCCGGTAACAACTCGAACAACAATGGGCAGTAGGGTTATGGAGGAATGAAGGTACGACGGATCCGTGCAACTTCAAAACGCATGGCATAGAGATCGTCCTGTGTTAGACAACGAATGAATAGCGAATCCTTGTACAACTATTGATCAGTCACCCATCATCGGCTGACCTTCAGCGGAGGAAAAAGAGGGGAAAAAAGGATTATAAGTCAAAGCAATTCTTGAGCATCCTATATTAATCTAGTATGCAAGACATAATGCGACGAGCAGGGAGAGTTGATGTCTAAAGAATTACCTATCGATCATGAGAGGGAGTTCAATGAGGAAGAAATACAATATGTAGATGAAATAAATGACAACCTTCAACAGCCATAGCAGCCAGCCTAATCGATCTTGCCTAGCCAACTTCCTGACCCCTACTGTGTGGACAAAGCCATAGTCCCTAGTAGAACTGTAAGGAATCCAGATAATGCCTAGGTAGAACTGGCGCCAGGCTCCCACACCGTCAGCTCCTGTGAGCAGCAAAGATGCAGCCTTAGCCAGCCCATGGGACATAACGTCCATTTTGACACCCCGACTCCTCCCTACCGTGGCCTAGGTTCCTATTAGCCACTCCGTCCAGCTCCCCAGCACCTGCGCGTCCCAAGTAAAATCAGATGAAGGTAAAAAGATGCAGAGATTATCAAGACAACTGAGCAACGAAAGACAATGTCAGACTCATATTGGAGAGAATGAGTGACAACGGCATAACCAGAAGATGGGGGTAGATATGAGAGACAGGTAATAGAGAAAAACAGTTAGTTTGTCGGGTAATGAGCCGCCGACTTTGGTGAACTGGATAACTGAGTCAGACAAAGGCCAAGAAATATCCGTACACACTCCCCTTCGCTATGCACCCAACCCCGTAACCGTTTTCCAGCAATACCACCACCAGCCCCTGAAGCCCAGAGACCAGAGACCAGATCGCCAACAGCTCTACGGATCTTCCTTTACTCTCATATCAAGAGGAGGAAAAGAAAAGCCGCGGCATGTCGTCTCCAGTCTTGTGAAACATAAAACAGACAGCGGCCCAGTAAGCAAAGCCCGTACCATATGGACTCAACCGGCAACACCAGAGAAAGGAGGCCCTGGTCCCAGTAAAGTAATCAAGTCACTTTTGTCTTCCCAACCTTTGAAATTTTGTAACACATCCCGCCTTATAATCAATTATCCGTCACTCCGACCAGACCTTCCGAACCAATACACACACCGTTCCACCTTTCCTTTGATAGATCTGATTGCACAGGGTTTGCAGTCACAAATGTTCTATGTTCGTCATCAAAGAAATTTCGCGAAAAATAAAGCGACACGTATCACCCGGGTCCATATGCATGGAGGGGTGATCCAGGGTACACACAGCGGATCGGCTGTAACAGTCTTTTACTGTTTAAGCAGGCGACTTGTTAGGAGGGGCAGAACCACCGTTCTGGCGGCCATCTCCTCCGCTAACTGAAAGCCCCCCAATGCCGCTGGAGAGGAAAGCAAAGGGGTCATTCTCAGTATTGCCACCGTTGTTGTTGGCGTTATTGTTATAAAAGTTGTTAGATGGTCCACCAGATGCAGGTCCATTGGTGGCTGACTGGAACGCAGCCTCAGCAGCACGACTATCGAAAGGACCAGCCGCATGGGAAGCAGGCCCAGATCCAAAACTGCCGTGGGTGTTCAGGGAGCTAGGATAGGCGGCAGCACCACCTCCGAGACCAGAGGGGAGGTAGTGGCTGGGGGGGCCTCCAAAGTGTTGTTGATTGTAGCCACCACCAGAGCCGCCGAAAGAGCTACCAGAGCCGAATGGTCCGGGTCCTGGAGCACCTCCCATAGATCCCTGGTTCATTCCGTACTGAGAGGCATTGTCCATGGGAGAAGGGTATCCAGAATCAGCAACAACTGCTGCGCCTGCGCGGCTGGCACCACATCGGAGACAGCAAACGTTCTTCGCAAAATTATGGTAGCCACAGACCTCGTTACCACACTTCCAATCACCGGCACGGAAAGGCACCACACCGCTACCACCCATACGACCACCGCCATGGCCCATAGGCCCGTGGTGACCACCATGAGGAGGGGGGGGCATCATAGCAGGAGGTCCATAACCATATCCACCTCCGTAATTGTTGTTGCCGCCGCCCATATCGTTCGAGGGGCCGGCGCCGACAGCGGGGAACGAGCATCGGAAGCAAGCAGTTCGACGCTGGAAGTTGGAGAATCCGCAAGATGGGCAGGTCCAGTCACCAGGCCGGGGGCGATTCTTGCTAGGAGGGAAAGGAGTCAGTATGTCCTGAGCGCGGTCGAGGACACGGCTGGAGGAGGGCGAGACCTCAATGGCCTTCTCATTAAGGGCACGACCATTCATACAAAGGCTTTCGGCGGCCTATAATTGATTAGCATGACAGATGACACAAATTGGCGACCAAACAGATGGAAATGGCGCAAGATGAAATTTAAGAAGGGAATCATTAGACTTACCTCCTCATGAGAAGAGAATACGGCAAATCCGGTGCCGGTGGGCTTATGCTGTTCAGGGGTTCGAAGAGTCCAGAATGCAATGGGTCGGCCACCAAACTGAGTGAACCAACTTTCGAGCTCGGACTGAGTAGTATCGTGGGGAAGTCCCGACATGTGAAGAACCTTACTCCTCTCCGAGAGAAAAGCTCGAACATCGGCTCGGGCATCCATGGGCCGAGTCAAGACATCGGGATGCTCCTGGGGAGGCTGCGACTTACGGATCAACCCGCGGAGGACTCGGGCAAGAGTGACAGCCTCCTCCATTGCACGTCGTGGCGAGGCAGGGGCAAGAGCCTGGAGGTGGAATGGAAGGTTGTGCTTAATTGGAGCACTCGACTGAACGGGCTCGACTTCGAGAGCGGCGCAAATGTTGGAGAGCATCGAAGGTCCGAATGGCAGAGACTCGGGGTGGTGTTGCTGCCAGCGCTGGTACTCGGTGCGGAGATCGAAAGTGCGTGAGTGCTGCAGGTAAGGAGGGAGAACCACAGCCTTGTCGCGGGCTTCGCGAGGTAGCTGAACACGGAGATCCCATGCGTCAAGAGTGACGAAGACGAAATCGAGGTTCTTGGAGGTCAAGTACTCGGTAGCGAATGTATCGAATCGGGTGATAGCGTCTCTAAAGGTACCAGCGTTTCGAACATGCTCCCAAGTCAAGGTTGTCAGGCTCGCTGCGAAAACAGTGGGTTAGCTAAAATATTTTACCTCGACAGGAAAGGCCAGCAATGTTGGACTTTGGTATTCGGTGCAGTTGTGTGGGCGAAGGAGAGCAGCGTGGAGCATATGCAATGGAAAGGTTGAGCCATTAGCGTAAGAAAACTTACTGCAGAGGGGTGTAATGGGAGTATTGACGGGCTTGACGAGGACGCTCTCATGGGTGATCTGGCAGTGAAAGGGCTAGTCAGCAATCTGTGTATTATATGGAAGTATCAAATGTCTTTGAAGAAGAATTTGGAACAGGAGGAAAATTTTGGGGGGGCTTTTCTGGCAGGGACAGGGTGGTGTTTCTCACCTCCTCAAGTGAGTTTGCGTCGACTAAGATCCAACCAAGCTCAATTACTTCGGCCGAGTCTTTTGTCACATAAACGCCGTGCTCGTCGCAGGTAGTCGCAACATGGATGACAACGTATCGATCGATGTTAAGCTGAGGAAGCTGTTGTGAAGCCATGTTCGCGGCGGAATCGATCGGACGAGGGTCGGCTGCGAGTTTGGAGGTGAGAAGAATCAGTGTCTGATTTGCTGGCAGCGCAGACGAGGCGACAGCGGCGAACTACGAGGTGACCTCGTGGATTCCTTGAGATCGTCGTAGTGATAAACACTCGAAAGGCAAACAAATATTATGTGCAACTAGCCCGTGGCCCGGCCAGCTTGCGATGAAAGAGGTAGAAAGGTATACGTGAGGTGGGTGAGCGGGAGGTTGACGGGAAGCGGAACGGATGTGGATGTGGCCAGTAGTTGAAATGGCAGCTCAGCCTTCAGGGGAGTTGGTGCCAAACACGAAATGGGCCTGAGGCGGGTGCTTTCTCTCCCAGGGGACAAGGCCCCGTAGGTAATGTGGTAGGTAATGTAGTGGGGGCGTCAGCACACGCTACCAGGTTATTTAAGGAACCGGACATGAATGAAGGCGATAATTCAACTTCATGGGCAGCATAATACATCGTTAAGTCCTGAACGATTATCTGTGATATGTAGATTTTGCAATTAGTTGGAAGCTATCGTTCTTGGAGACGTTAAAAATGCCTATTGCTATCGAAGCTCAAACTTTTGAGTAAGTTCTATTATCAACCAGTCAATGTTGGCCTTTCTCAAGCACAGGTTGCTTTGCCTTGAGCATGGATGGCGCCTTATAGAAAGGGAACCACAGTCGCCTACAAGGGAAAACACAGCTTCAATACACTCCTACCTAGGTAGGTAGTATTTTGAATTAGCGAACTATAAACGGGAGGCGACTAAGTTGTCCAGATAGGTACTCTTCCATTTTTTTAGACACCTTGGCGGCTCAGAATGAGGTGTCTCGATAAACCCCTATACTTAAGTTATTGACCGTTGAAGTCAATTGATGAAGGTTTGACTGACCAATATTCTGTAAACGTTCTTCAAGGTACCTTATTCAAGAAGCTTGACTTGGTAAGGCCGCTCTCGGAAGCTTTGTTTGTAAAATGAACATGTTCCGACTCGTGAGAATGATATATTAATAAAAGATCCTAACGCAGCCGCCCTTGAGTTAGGACAATTCTAAGCCAGCTTGAAAATCTTCACTTTCCGATGCGTCCGAATCCTACCACCTCAAACTCAGCTTGATGATTTAAAACTTGCTATTCCGTTCAACACATCAATATCGTCATGAATACCTTCGCCAAGACTACCTATACCTAAGTAACCCTACCGCCCATACTCCACGTTTTTGACAGTTCCTAATTCGTCCTCCCAACCCGTCTATGTACCTCAGTAAAAGCTGGGCATCCTTTTACCCAACCCGCTGATTTCTCGCAGCGACCGCGCGTACCATTACCAACCACATTTCACGGTGCGTATCACACTACATGACTGAGGTGCTGAGGAAAAGGAATGGATGTGAAGTTGCTGAGATAGATTCGACACGCATTGACAATAAAACTACAGCAACTCAATTCAATGTCGAGACTGAGATTTGAGTTCCATGTGTGTATGGTTGACCATCTTTATTACTGTTATTAATCTGTCAGTTGTCGATGTTGTAGTCGCTCTACCAACAGCAATCTCCGCTCAGGCAGGGTAACCAACACCATCAACAGTGTCAGCCTCATTATCGGAGTTTGCTCCGACCTCAATTCTGTTTTGCTGCACTGATCCAACTACCTAGACAAGACACTCTCCAAACGCTTATGATTCACTCTCATCTGCCTTGCACTCTCGCACTTTGATAATGACCTAACTTAGTAGGAACTATAAGAATAGCAGAAATCCATCATCATCAATCAGGCAGGATGGCCTTGCATATGACAGTCCCACCCGTGCGCGGAAACAGATTTACCGCCTTGAGGTGAGGCGTCATCAACCTCGCTCCAGCTACATCAGTCAGTCCACAATGATGCAGACCCCCCTCATCTCTTCTCTTTTCTGCTACCATTTGACTTTGGATCTTCCAAATATTGACTTTGAACAAAGCGAATTTCATCAAACAGGTTAACTTGAGAGAAAATCATATCTGCACATTTTGTCTTTTATGTTGTGTACTCTGCACCAATATCCAAGGTTAATTGATGAGCCTGTTTGGCCGGGTAAACGTTGAGCGGCTTTACGGGACGGACAACATCGCCCATGAAGATCAGGGGTCATAATCCGTATCTTAAAATCCCGGGGCGAGGGCCGATAGCCAAGCAAGTTCACCGAAACAGGCCGCAAGTCCTCGTAGTTCATTAGGGGTTCATGAAGCCAGGACACAGATAAATCCAATCCAACTTCTGAGAGTGCTGCCCACTTAGAGTAGCGAGATTATGTGACTACCTTATCCAATATCAGCCCAGCTATTTATAAATATAGCCATAGAAACGTCGTCCATCAATAACATGCTCTTTCTTTCGGGACCACAAGATGATAAGGTCAGTCATACCAGAGTATCACTATGCTAGGCAAGGGGATATTTCTGAGTTCTGGCTGGTGTGGTGTTCTAACAAGGATTGCAATAACACCATTTAAGGGTTCACCTCGGTATCAGTACCTCAGGTCCATCTTTGAAATGGTCACGACGTTCAGTGGCCGACGGCTACTGACGCGAGAGCAGAAATAGAAAAGGCTTACGAGGTGACCAAACACTCTAAGAATGGCTACTCATTCTTCCAACCAAAAGCAAGGATACAATAATTTAGTCTATATATACATATCTATATTTCAATATCAAAATACCAATCTAGCAGCACAAAAAGTGAAGCCAAAGGCACGCAAGCAAGATAACACGATAAGAGTGTTTTTTTTTTAACATAACACAATAACATATCTATATATACATATTATTCTCCAAGCAAGAGCATTTCTCATTTACATTACACTGGACCTGAGCACGCAGTTGAGTTCTGTAAAATAAATTAAAAATAAATTAAAATTAATAAAATTAAATAATAAAAATAATAATAAAATTGTACTTTACTAAGGTGAAGGTGAACAGGTAACGTGCCTTATGGGTGCTTTTTAATTAAGGGGAGTCTCTCTCAACATAAGTCAATGAGACTAGGTAAGTTATCAACTTCTGCGAGACTCGATAAGTGACGAGAGGCTCGTCTGATATCAACGACCTATCCCCTGGAGCTCAGCCACCTCCTTCGTCTTGAAAACTAGACTTTCGGCAGCTGAAACCTATAAGCCAACAACATCTGTCCGGGCACCGCTCATCACATGCTCGCGCATCAATGCACCTCCACTGACTGTTGAGAGTAGCGTTGGCTAGAGAGGGATGGGCATGTAAGAATCGTTGCAACTCTACATTCCATTAAAGTGCTAATCAAGACAGGAACCGTTGTGATATGAACAACATGATGCAGGTGACAGTGACATTCTGAGCATTGTCACGCTGGTGGTGGTCTAGCCTGGCTTTGCTGTTACCAATTGGTTAAAATCACTAGTGAATTCAGGATTTAATAGGTCAACGACAGTACAGGTTCCTCATACCAGAGATCGTGCGCACTTCTGGTAATGAATGCCTGGAAAATACATTGCATGCTACATCGTTCAATATGTTATGCTGTGGGTCGGTCTCCTGGACTAGAGTATCAAGCTTGTAAGCGACTTTTTTTCGAAGAAAATATCAGTCTACCTTAATGTTCTGTAGGCTTCGCCACAAGACGGTTTCCTTAGGATCTGTCACGGCACATTTTATGCCGACGTGGCCTACGTCATAGGTAGCTTCTCCGGCGTTACAGTCAAGGATAGATGACTTCTTACCAGGTAGCGAAGGCTTCACGTTACCTGGTAGTAGTTACGCGGCGCAAATTTATTAACGACTTCTGTGACGACCTTGCTTGTTGACTTTTTCTTTCTGCTGCAATCGTCTCTCAGCTGTCAGAACGAGAACTCGCGACTTTTTTTGGTCACCTACACAACCATCTCCAAACTTCTCCCAACCTTGCATCAACAAGTCGCAACCATGGGCGCTATTTCTGCCGTCTTCCTTATCCTCATCACGATTTTCTGTGAGCCACAGACTCCTCCTGATCGCACAATTCAAATGGAAACAAAACTAATGTAGTCGCAGTCCCTCCCATCGGCGTCTGGGCCGTTGCAGGATGTGGAATGGGCATGTAACATCTCTCTCTCTGGCTGCAGCCACACGCTAACTTTCCCAGATCTATTCATCAACATCTGCTTGACCCTTCTTGGCTTCCTTCCAGGTCATATCCATGCCTTCTACCTTGAGTACATCTACTACGATCGCCGAGAACAGGCACGCGAGGGCCGTTTTGCGACAGGACCTGCGCCTGGCATTTACTCGGATAACGTGCAGACTGGCGGTCAGGGCTATGGAACAATGGGACGCGCAGCATAGAATGGACAGACGTTAGAGTGGTAATCAACTCTAGTTATTGGTTGTCTGGGGGATTCAGGTGAGGTGATTTACATCATTGAGTGTTGCAAGATCGCCGACATCGGCAGCGATGAAGGGTGGTGGTAGCAGATATTAGCTGCAAGGACGATGCCTAAGCTTTGGGTTCTATACAGGATGATATGGTTTGTTGTCAAATCAACTTTTCTGATGTGAGAATTATGACGCGGTACAGATACGAAGGATAAATATGTTGATGTTTTTAAGACATGCGGCCGGTGTTAGAGAATGATGAATTCATGTTAGATTTCGATATTCATCCATGCTGGCAAAGGGAAGGGGTTGAAACTCCAATCATCGAGAGTGGACAACGCACCGCCTGTATAGCCCGTATTATAATGCGTGAAATGCCGATGGCTTTATTAGGACGTACTTGAAGCTGGTGTAACTACGTTTGCTGCATAATGACTTGGGGTGTGTGAGTTGTCACCCTGGCTATTCCGTGAGGTGCTTGTGCATGAATCAGTACATACTACCAATTAAAAATACAGATGTACCTTGGAAGCAGTACATATGTCGTGCCAATTTACCAGGATTGGGATCAAATGTACCGTAGATACCGACACATGCTTCAATTGATAGCTTCTAGTTCGCTGGCTTATTGTTTGTTAGTTTTGTCAGAACTGGTAGGAACAAACACTCTTTCAGCTTTTTGTGAGCAACGAACATTCTCATCGAGGTTGTTCAGGGTAAGTAAGGGATATGTTAAGAGCTAAATGCCAGCCAATGAGAGACAATGCGGGGACGTCGCCCGAGACGAGCTTGATCCTTTTTACTTAGCACCTAATTATCGACAGCCACGACACTCATGCATAAGGGCCAAATCGGGTTTGTTCTGATTGGCTTTGCTGCTTCCTATCAGCCTCAAGAACTAATATCAATGGTCTCGGAGAGAAAAGCAACGAAACAAATGTGAGAGGAAATATCCCCTCTTCTTTCCTTTCTTTTCCAAGACACTCATTGCCCTTGCCGCTGTTGTCTGAAATATAGTGTTGTGAGGTAGCTTCAAGTCAGAGGCTTGCCTGACTGTACAGAATTCTCTTCAACACACTCACCGGACAGGCTTTCTGCATTGTTGGTTCTCCTCTCCTCTTCCCCCAACCTCATCATCTATCAACTCCCATCCCACATTTCCACCAAGAACAAACCAAACCCCTTGTCTTACTACGCCGTATTTGTAGCCGAAGAGTGCCATACTGTGCTTTTTGCTACTGTCTGTTGCATATCCGGCATCCATCGACCCACTGCACCCCATATTGCATCAACGGCTAGACTGTCAGCCAAGACAAGACGTGACAAGACAAGACAAAATCAAACCAGACTTCATCGTTTTGCGTTTTCTTGCCTTGCTGGCTCCCATCACTCGCTATTCATAGTTCCAACTGGCCAATTTACATAGCCTTTGGGGCCGATGCGCCAAATTGTACGGATTACGGGCGTCGTTCCTGAACACAGGTACCTTGCTACACACTACCAGCTTAATAGCTAGTCCCAAGGTATATTTCTACACTTGCTTCTTTACCGCTGCCCTTTTGCAGCTAATCACCGGGACACCTTGCATAGGTATCCTAGACCGACTGTTGACCACGACAATCATCATCCCAACAGCTTCCCCATTTCACCGTTCGCTTGCCACCCTCAAGTGTACACGTCTGTACACATACTAGCTACAATTCCGCATGCAAAACTCGAGTATAGTACCTTATCGTCGTGCCGCTTCGGAGCTTCCAATGCCCGCCCCAATTGATGCACACCTGGGGTGACATTTGCGCTTGACCCAAATCAACACCTCGCTCTATCGCCTCCAACTCCCAATACTTGTCTACAAAGACAAGCACAACACACTCTTATACTATATACACACGGAGCCCAAGTCCCAATTCTCCATCATGCTGTCCCCTTCTTCCGAGGAGCCCCCCCAGCCGCCCCAAATCTATCAACACAAACCATCTCGACACCACGCCTCCACCTCCACCTCATCAACACCGGCCCTCAGCAAACCACGTCGACACTCTCTTCAATTATCCTTCCCACCCCTTTTCCAGACGAACGCCTCATCGACGAGCCTCGTGCCTTCGACTGCTGAGGGAAAGCCTATTCCTGTTGACAATTCCACTGCTGAGCACCGAACGTCAGCTCTTCGAGAGCTCAATTCCAATTTTCCCACCCGTCATCGATACGCACAGTCTACTGGTGCACAGAGTAGTACCTATTCGCAACCTGTGATCGTGCGAAGTTACTACGCTCCTGTACCAGCACAGCCTGCGGACAGAGGTGTTATTGTTGTCAACGGTCGAGGGCACCGCTCAGCACTCTCAGAGAGTAGCGGCCCTTCAGCTCTCGTACGACGAGTGCTGCCCTTTGGTACAGGTTCGGCTTCGGCCCGCAATGGAATTCTAGGTACAATGGCGAGGAACCGAACAAAGAAACGGCTCGAAAATGAACCAGAGGAGCCAAAACTTCCATCTGTCGAGGCCTTCCGCTTCAAAAGCTTCATGGCCAATTTAGAAGACCAGAGTGGCGGTACTGATATAAATGCTGATCTGGACCGTATCGCAGAGATCTGCGCTAAATCGCGATACTCTCTAAGCAACCAGTATGAAGTTCATTATGCTCCCCATGGCTCAGGCTCGTCTTTTATGACTCCAGCTATTGAGAGCCAGGAGGCCCAGGGACCCACCCTTCAAGCTGTGTCTTCCGATGATGAGAGGAACATCAAACGATCTAGAAAACGACCGATGGGCGTAAGGAGAAACAGCAGAGCCATGGGAACATTGGAAACCATAATGTCATCGAGTAGATCATCGGATGAGGATAAATCCAAGAAGAAGTCGGCTGCAGAGATTGCCGAGGAAGTTCGCGGCAGAGCCGCACAAAAAGGGTCCAGCAAACACGGATCATCGGTCTCGTCTGATGAAGGAGCTAACGAGAGCGTGTTCCTGGAAGAGGAGGATGTCAGACAGCGGTCACCTCGTCAAAAACGGTCTGGTTCATTGGCCCTTATTGATGGCAATCGGCTGAGCATGCACCTTAATGATGTGGACTCGAGTCGACCTACGGCTGTTGGTCTTGTCAGCGAGCCTGCCTTGCCTCAAACATCAAGCAGCCAACTCGAAATCCGAACAGCACCGGAGGCAACGAACAAAGAGCATCTTCCTGGTTTACCCAAGAAGTGTCCCGCAGCCACAGAAGGACTTGACCAGCCGGTTGTCCATGGCTCTATATCTGCGATCAAGGCATCTTACCCAAGGAGCAATTTTATGTCCACGCTTAGTGGTTGGATGACTTGGCGTTCGTCTGATACTTTGCCAACGCCTAAGGGCCGTGCAGAGGGTAGTCTACGTGAGCTTCTGAAAACTAGAGATATCAAAGGAAAAGGCGTCGAGGCGGCCGCGTATCAGTAACGAAGGAGCTCAAACGAGAGGAACACAGCACTCTTGCTTAAAGACATACCTACATGCTGCAAAAGGGCAGTTTGATTGAGTATCCACCCAATGTTCAACGACCAGCAATGATGTAACGAATTACTTACGATTTCATGAAGCCAGTAATGATATGATTAGGGGTGGGAAAGATACAGAGAAGTCAAAAGTTTGAGATTATAAGGTTTTCTTAGAACGAATTATCTAGTAAAACTCCAAAAATGGTCGGTAGCAGCAACAAGATAACATTTGTATAATGTGACTTGCTCAATGACAATCCATGAGCTACAATACCTTCGACTAGTTCATGGGGAAAGCCTAAGACTTACCGCATAAAAATCGACCTCAATGATGCACTTAGCCGGCGGCAATTGTCTTCCCGGAAAATGGCTTAATATACATTAATGGGCTTTCGCGTCTAATTTTCGCCCTTTGTCTTTGATTCAGTGTCTTGGTCGTTTCTATATAGCAACAATACTTTGCCATGCCTTCGTCAAAAAGAAAATTCTCTGCCTCCCTCTGTGACCACTGCCCGTCCTGCGCCAATAGGTAGGATGCAAAAAACAAGGCGCTGGAGCCGGCAAAACAAAGAGATGCCCATGCCAGCGCCCACGCATTACGCATGCTTCAGGTTCAAACATGATAAGTTATGAAGCCACCGAGACACCCAAACGAAACGAAGCATGATATATAAAAACAAAAACGCCAGTCCATTGATTTGGCTGCACTGACCTGTAGGGAGACGCCCAACAAGAGGATGGGAAACGTCAAATTGCGTAGAAGACTCCTGCAAATGGCGCAATGCCGTCTATGTCCGAAAGTAGCAGGTGTGTAACCGAGGAGTAATCGTTTCGAGTTGATAGATCAAGGTGTCATGAATATTACGCTCCGGAGGTCGCATTCGATGGTGCGACTGCTGTCGTGGGCTTGTTTCCGCCATTTTTGTCAACCTGTAACCGCTTTGTGTCTCGCTGGTCGGTCCCTTCATTGATACGTTTCTTATCCTTCTCTTTGTCCCGGCCGGCATTCTCTTTAGCTAGCTTTCTGGCTTCTCTCTCGCGTCGATCGTTTTCCTTCCTCAGGGCTTTAGACTCGAATTCATGCCAGTCATTATGTGTTGCGAGTCTACGGATTGGTTAGTGGGTGATGCTTGTCATATACTAGCTTGATCAACTTACTCTGTAGCCTGGCGGGCTGCTGGTGCTTCTTCAGTAAAGTATGCATGTTGGAGTACCTGTGCAGCGCTGGGTCGTTTTGCAGGGTCGTAATGGAACATGGCGGAGAGCAGATCGAAGGCGGCTGGTGACATCTTATCACGGTACTTCTCTGCGAAGACGTTCCTTCTCTTCACGGTTGGGCGCAAAAGTTCAAACCAAGCCATATCGACAAGATTGGGCCACTCTTTCAAGGTCGGTGTGCCCATCACGTTGTAGATCTTTTCCAGTTGGCTCAGCTCGGTTCCGTCACCTGGGAAGATGGCGTTCCGATCAAAAATCTCAACCATGACACATGCTGCACTCC